TTATCTGGTTCTTTGTATGTGTGGTAGGATCGCAATAGATAGTAACAGTACCTACACGACATAGTAGACATAAAGGCATCGACATGTAAGATACACTTTTCTAAGGTCATACAGGTCATTGTCACATACTCAACGATATATATGTAAGAAACACTGTGAAAAATAAAAAAAAGTGTCTGACATACATTTTTATTTTTTCAGAAAAATCCTCGACCGAATGTTCATCAAATAAGTCTAGCGGGGACGATACCAGAAATCACTAACAATCTTACGAAACAAAATGACTCATTAAAGCCCGACTTTATAAGAAACTTGGAACAGATAATGAAAGAATGCGTGGACGCATGTGAGATTGCTGCCAAAGTACCAGCGGTCAAAGCATTGTTCAATTCGACAGAGACTTTCGATCTGGTTATAGTTGAAGTGTTTGGAAGCGATTGTTTTCTACCTCTGGGCAAGAAATATGGAGCTCCTGTGGTCGGCTTCCTCTCAAGTGTACCGCTTCCCTGGTTGAATGAGCAGCTTGGAAACCCTGAGGCGACTGCCTACGTACCTTCGTATATGGTCGGATATGGCCAACGAATGTCACTATGGGAAAGATTTGCTAACACCATGGCGGTGATTATAGCTAAGATTTTGTATAGATACAAATCCCAAATCCCTTCGCAGGTTAGCCCCATACTCATCCTTATTTAGATACAAAACAAGATGACGACTAGAAATTTAAACTAATGTGTTTGTTTCTAGGCTATATCGGATAGACTTTTTGGACCAGAACCGAAATTGGAAACATTGGCACAAAACTATAGTTTGGTTTTGTCGAACAGTCATTTCAGCATCAACGAAGTGAGGCCATTGTGCCTGCTTTAGTAGAGGTTGGAGGACTACATTTGGACGATTCTCCAGTTCTGTCACGTGTAAGTACCTTAGCTGGCGATAGTATCAAATGAGAATATAAATCATTCGACATTGCTATTAGTAATTTATTAGCACATTAAATCACCTCTAATGCACTTTAATCATAGGTCATATCGGCGCGCTGCAAGCGGTAGGCGCACGTATCATTCCCAAGTCACTGGGTCACTCAGACTGCATGTCCACAGAAATTATCTCAACCGTAATGTTACAGTTTCAATGATTATTAGGTTCATAGGCAACAGTTATCTCAACCCTTACAGTCTAGTCATTTGTATTAAGATTAACATAGGTCATTGATTCGGAAACCATTTCGCCTTGTTTAAAGTAAGGTGATCTTAGTGTCTGTTCTATTCATTGTGGCAACTATGTCTCTATCTAGATAATCTATACTTCGGTAGCGCTAATAACCTTAAAAAACCTAAGTTTAAAGGGATGTGTCATTTTAAAGGATTTTATTTTCTACCAATAGGTAGTAGTGCCCGATTTCGTCCGCAGGCTAACGGACCCGATTGAAATACTTATAGTTAGTTGGTTATGTAAATCATGATCTCGTTGAGCAACACAACCTCACGTCATAGTAAACTATAAAAACAAATTAAAGGCATAATTATGAGTATATCATAAATAATAACTCATTATTGATGCAATTAAAATCTTCAGAGAAATAATAAAATGATGTCACAAACAAATAAGGACAGGACAAACACGTAAACAGTAAAATTTTAGATAAAGCTATCGATTGAGTGGGTGCATCTTGACTACTAATCAATGTCAACTTCATTTGCAAAATTTTTGTTATATTAGAAGAAATTTGATATCTCCAGAGCAGCGTTCATAAGTAGAAGTTACTATACCTATTTATTTTGATAAATGAAAATGTTCGTCATCCGTTTTATTTAGTTAAGAACCTACTGGAATGGGAGAACTATCTCCTACGTTCCAGTACCCATGTGTTACATATATTTCATAGAGTAGCCCCGTCGATACAAGAAGTCTACGTAACCTACATTTCCAGATGCAATAGGGAACCGCCTATCTCTCCGACCCAGGACCTAAGACCCTCCTGACAACAGATAGTGTCAAATGATGAAATGTGATTAATTTTGCCGTTCATAATGTTGTTGATGCCAAATCACACAGAAAATCATTTAATAAATACCTCTTCTACAATTTCCACTACCGGTAAAAAATAGTTATAGACATTTCTGGTACTTTCGGAAGTATTGTGGTTTTTAGAGATTGTAGAATGGTATATCAGCTACAAACTCATGGGTAAACGAAAGCGAAAGAGTAAAAGTTAAAGTTTTTGGAGATCACGATTAGAGTAAATATCAATATTTTTTTCTGTAGCACATGCAAAACCTTTTGGACGCATCAACGGAAGGCGTGATCTACTGGAGCTTCGGATCAATGTCGAGGATAGAGACGATACCAAGTGATACACTATCACGAATATTTGACGTGTTGTCGGAGCTGCCTCAGACGGTGTTCATCAAGATGGACAGGCGTATGTTGCCACAGAACCTTACAGTGCCTGACAACGCTTACACGATGAACTGGATACCACAGCACGCTACCTTATGTAAGTTGTAATTTTCTTCTTATCGCCCAAACTCGACCCCTGTAGTTACTCTCGATGATAATCCCTTTATCTATTAATCACTATTCTGCGTGATAAATTCGAAATTAAGCGATCAATGAACACTTACATCACTCATCAATATTTATATTTTAATTCTGACGCTTTAATTACACGATTACATTCTTATCGGTTGCATGTGACAAACGGTATGTAATGTTGACAGGTCATCCGAACGTGAAGCTGTTTATCTCGCATGGTGGTCTACTGGGCACACAAGAGGCTGTGGCCTGTGGGGTCCCAATGTTGATGGTGCCGCTGTACGCAGACCAGCGCTCAACGCGCGAGCGATGGCTGACAGGGGTGTCGCAGAAATTGCTACTCTCAAAAATACTGACAAAGACACATGGAGACGAAAACTACGGGAGTTGTTAACAGATCAACGGTATGTTTTATCTTTCATACATTGTACGTACATTGCTATAGTAACACGAATGATAGATCCGTGAGGTTCGAGACAATGCAGTCTGACTAGATAACCTCGGTGACATAATATGCTACGGAGATAATGGCCGAGTCTACTTTCATTATATCATATTTACAACCATGCGTGAAAGTCGACTGCAATTTTTTTTACCTGCTGCAAAAATGTAGTACCACAAAAATTACGGACGCAAATTACTGTCGCTATTTCACATACACATGACGAATTTGGGCTGGTGGACATACACCTGGTGGTCTCTGAATCATGATATGAGTCTCACTGGTGCTACCACTAGCGCCATCTATTATTTATACAGCGTCGTTAATATTATTCAATTATTATTTTTCAGGTATAAAAATAGAGCGACAGAGTTGAAGAACATTTTCTTGGACCGGCCGATGAAGCCTTTGGATATGGGCGTGTATTGGATAGAATATGTACTGAGACATAGGGGAGCGTCGCATATGCGGTCACCTGCCCTCGACCTCACCTACCCGCAGTACATGTTACTCGACGTAGTAGCACTAAGCACTGCCGTGGCGCTGCTCACCATATACATACTACATAAGCTATTTAGGTACCTATGCACACGATGCATTCGCTGGTGGCCAAAGGAAAAACTAGTCTTTGAAAAAAGACTGTTGAGAAAAAACATTAGTTTCTTCTTATGTATTTTGTGGAAGTACAAAGTGAAACACAATTGATGAGTGCTATTGTTGTAGAGAATATTCACTCACACTGTATTATATAATGTTTAGGTGTAAATATTATTTTATAAGATGTAAGATATTTAAAAATATATTTCTGTAGTCTGTCGATGAGATTTTGCGTATATCGTAAAATACAAGAAACAATTTTAATCTTATGTAATTACTAAATACTTTTATTCAAATGTTTGCATGTTCTATTGTTAAAATAACATATTATTATTTTAAATTGTGATGTAAGTCTATACATCTATGTGTTTGTATAGAAATTATGCATTTAATATAAAAAAGTTCCTTTAAAGGAGCTTAGTATTAAGTAGAAAAAACTTTGATTGTCATTTGTGTACAGAAGTAACCAATTTTAATACTAAGTACTAGTAAAGAGAGAACATTGTAAAGCATATAAAACTTTATGATCAAAATGCAAAGACTAAAGAAATAGGTAAATATAATTTCTAAATATTTTAGAACTGATTTTTATGAGGACTTTTTATTTACACTATATTGAATGGTAGACAGAAACATTGGGTCACTTTTTATAATAACTATGGTGAGATATATTCAATTAACTAAACCTCGCGGGTTACTCGCACTTCAGTAGGCTGCGCGATATCGCCGCGATCGCGCACACTGCTCATGACGAGGCAGCCACGAGTTTGCAAGGGTCATAACACTAGCTATGACCCTTGCAAACTTCTACAGTTTCCATCACATTTGAATGCTTATACCATTGCCCATCGTATCGTATAAGACAAAAAAGACTTCTCTTTTGCACCTAAACATTTAGGTCCTTAGGTTTTATCTACACAGATTTTGTAGAGAGACAAAATATGTGAAGATAGACATATTGATAGATACAATTTATATTGGAAATATTAAGCATGTGTAGAATAATAGTGACAGACTTAAATCTGTATAAATAAAAATGAATTTCCGTTTATTAGTCTAACTAAAACTCGAGAACAGCTGAACCGATTTGCCTAGTCTTCAAAATGTTTGTTGTAGTCCAGGGAATGCTTAAAAGTTAAGAAATCAGGTGGGGAAATTTTTTTTGAGGTGGTACTATTTTTTGCCACATCAATTAGGACCGATTTGGCTAATTTTAGTCTTGAAATATTCGGGTAGTCCAGGAAAGGTTAAAAAGGTCAGAAATTTTTTTTTTACTAGTTTAGTACTAAGTTTATCAGCTAGCGGACAAAATATTGTGTGAGAGAAAGTGAGATAAAAGAGTATTCATGACACTCCTTCACTACATAGAGGAGAAGGAGTAGAAATTGAGAAAATCCATAAGCAAAATCTTTATAAAACTCACCAATATAGAACTGGATCCCCAAAGTCCATATCAAATCTGAAGTGTGAGAATGCAAGTAGTGTTCCTTTCTTTTCCCTTGCAATGAGATACCATGCACCTTCATCTGTCATCTCCTCCACTTTACGATCCCGGTTCCATCCCCAGGCACAGGTTTCATATCTGTAATAGAAATAATTAAAATATATTTTAAATCTACTTATATGCTCATGATTTATATTTTAATATCATATACAGGGTGTAAACAACGAACAACCGACAGGTGATGGTTAAAAACAAGTTTCATTGTCATAAAAGTAAAGAATTAAATGTTTCTTTTATGTAATAATTGTTGTAATCAAGAGCCCAAGGCTGATGTTCAATGATTAATACGAAAACAAAAACTATTAAAGTTGTAAAAACAATTTCTTTAAGTTATTGTTTCAAGTGAGTTCCGTTTACACCCTGTATAAGGTTGGTTTGCTTGTTTGAATGTGCTAATCTCCGGAATTACTGGTCCGAATTGAATAATCTTTTTGTGTTGGATAGTCCATGTATCGAGGAAGGCTATAGGCTAGAGCTGAGTAAGGCAGGTGAAAACGTGCTGGTACAGCTAGTAATGAATGTCAAGAAATTATGAAGTGTTGATGAATTAATATTTTTAAAAGTTTATGGCATATAGAATGAAAAAGTTAAATAGTATTTTTTTTTTAATTTATGACCAAATTCCAGGAATTCTGAATTATACATAATAGCTTCATAATAAATGTAAATTCAGTTTAAGTTAAGGGAGATAGCTCAAAAATCCTTTTAATTAATAAAGCCTTGCAAATAAGGTACCTACCTAAATAGTTTTATCAAAATAATGTAAATTGGTTCTTAACTGAACAGCAAATTTTAAATTATTAAGAGAATTAGCAAGTGATAGGTCATATGTAATTTAAAGCCTGCACTATCACAGTATAGAGATTTTACTAAACAGGTAAAAACGAAATATACAATTACGAAAAATGTTGTCTTACAAATGTTTCATATTCCTTTCAGTTAAGTCAATCGCCCACTCAAGAACGTTCTTATCCAGTTCAGTGACCCGTTGAATGTACATTTCTACTTCTAATTCATTATTCCGGTAAACAAGGAGTTCTTTGCACAGTGTAGCCAAATCTTTCAATTTATTGGCTGAATTTACGCTCGACATTCCATCCGCGATTCGACGTTGCTCCTGCTTTCTTGCATTGCGTTTCTCTTTATTCTTATTTACATTTGCTTGCGTCTTTTTCTGAAAAACCAAACCGAATAATTACGCACGCTAAATTACAAACTATTATACATTTACAGAAGCAGTGTCTGTGAATTTACTTACACCCATTTTCTTAGCAAATATTATTTGGTTTGGGAATGTAACACTTAAAAGTTTTTTGGCGGGAATTAATACATAAATACGTGGTGACCAATAAATATGCAATAGCGCGTGTTACAAATTCGAACAATACAAATCCAAACAACAACTATTTAGTGTCATCTGTCATATTTGTCAAAAATGTCAAATATTAGTAATTTGTATATGGCAACACTACAATGCTAAGGGATGTGAATGTCACCAACGAAATCACAACTCATTTTTAGTAATTTTGGTCAAAAGGTTAAAATTCGGTAGTTATTTTTATATTCAAATAAATAAAACCTAAGTAATCAGATATAATTACGCATATTTTCCATTAGACTAGAAGAATAATTTCAATGTCGACAAATTAATAATGTAGCCATAATCAATATTTCCCATAAGAAATGACAAGATGTGCTACTGGCCGCCAAATTTGAAATATCTGCCTTTACGTTTGTAAAATCAATATGTTTCACAAAAATAATTGACATAATTCGATTGAGGTGCAAATTAATGGACTTGTGTAAAAAATAAAAGGTGTGATGCGGTTTATAAGAAACTGTGCCAGCTGTATTCTCATATTAGACGTCGCACTTTAATGTAAATTTTTTTAAATTCTATTTTTTGGCTTTCGGCCAAGTTTTGTTACTGTCAGTGTTGTTTCAGTTTCATGATTAGAACATGCTCGATTTTCAGAGCCACAGTCAGCTGTAGCTGCCAATATCATAATACAATTAGTAAAATGAAGCTTGTTAAGCTATCGCAAACAAATGATGTGATGCCCACACTGGGCTTAGGAACATGGCAGGTAACGTAATGATTGAATTAATTTCTTTATTAACGCTAATTAGATAACTAACCAATTACATTTTTCTTTCAGGCTGAACCATCTATTGTTAAGTCTACTGTATATGCTGCTCTGGAACTAGGATATAGGCATATTGATACAGCATTTAATTACAATAATGAAGAAGCGATTGGCAGTGCTATCACCAAATGGATTGATGATGGAAGAGGAACTCGAACTGAGTTGTTCATTACCACCAAGGTTAGTATATATAAGTATTTTTTTCTGTGATATATCTAAGTAGTGTCCCTACCATATTTTTTTCAGTGATGTGATATCATACAGTTACATATAATCATGTATTTTCAGCTTCCACATATAGCTAACAGGGCTTCTGATGTCGAGAAATTCGTAAATCTTCAACTGCAACGCTTGCAATTGTCTTATGTGGATTTATATCTCATACATGTACCCTTTGGCTTCAATTGCGATCCTGAAACACTAACGCCCAAAGTTAATCAGGAAGGGAATTATGAGTTGGACATGGCTACAGATCATATAGCGACCTGGAAGGTAAGTTTTACTACTGTTTTCGTTTATATTACCTTGGTAAGTATTTATGATACCTATATAGAAAATCGCATTAATCAGTCAGATCAAGTAATTTTCATTGTTTAAAATATTGTTTCAGAAATTGGAGGAGTGCCAAAAATCAGGTCTCATTCGCAACATTGGTTTATCTAATTTTAATGAGGAACAAATAGAGAAAATTATGAAACATGCGACATTTAAACCACAGGTGTTGCAAGTAGAACTTCACGCCTATTTCCAGCAAAATGAATTACGGAAATTTTGTGAAAAGCACAACATTATTTTAACTGCATATGCTCCTCTGGGGAGCCCTGGAGCTAAAAACCACTTTGTCACCAAATATAAATACAGGTGGTTAAACTTATTCATACATTATTTGCGTTCTATAATGTTATAAGAACGACTCGAGGCTAGGACACATTTAAGGTTCTTAAAGGGCACAGTACAACATAGTAATATTTTGTAGAAATAAGGATATAATGTCACATACTAGCTCTGGCTGTATCTATACAACCATGTGCCATGTATTTTACATAATGAGTTTATGAATTTATATTTGTCATTTTAGTCCCAATACGTTCCCTGATTTGCTGTCTCTACCAGAAGTGGACACAATGGCCAAAAAATATGAGAAGACACCTGCACAAATATTACTTCACTTCTTGGTTAAACAAAAAATTGTTGTTATTCCAAAGAGTACCAATTTGGACAGATTGGAGGTGAATTTAATCATTTATTTATTTACTCACAAATATGTTATACTTTTTTCAACTACCTATACATACATAAACTACTAACAAACCCAGCAAACTCCGTTTCGCCACGCAAACCTCACGGAGTCCGAGACTTTTCCAACGAATGCAAAACCGTGGAAATTGGTTCGTGCGTTCTGGAGTTATAGCGTCAGGAAGGCAATCCCGACTTATTTTTATATAGTAGATTACTCCTTCCTATTATAATAGGTATGTATTTTTTCAGGAAAATAAGAATATTTATGACTTTGAATTGTCAGAAGAAGAAATGAACACCCTCATTCGGTTGGATAAGGGAGAAAAAGGAAGGATTTTCAACTTTTTATTCTGGAAAGGAGTAGAATATCATCCTGAATATCCGTTCGCGAACGTGAAGAAGCAACTATCGGAAGACGATATTTAATACGCTAAACGCTTGTTACTACCTAGTCAGTCAGTCTTTGCTTTCCAAGTTCACACACACAAGCTCGCGTGTCAGTAAATTAAAAGTTTGGACACCAGTGATAGCAACATGCTGATATCCACTTTTAGCTTTAATAGTTAATATGTAAATGATCAGTTATAAACTGATTAAAAGATTTATGTTATTTGCTTCAAGCAAAAGTATTATTTATTAAAAACTGTGGTCTGTTTATGATCATGAATTAAAAATGTTTAAAAATACATGATTAACTTTTTTATTCACTTACAATAAAAATACAATTAATAAAAGTAACAAAAAACAAATCACGAGAGCCTATACAGCATCTTCCTTTGCAGTCTATGTTGTAATTCTCCGCGTCTAATCATAGTGTGTATAACTTTGAGGATGGCCCTCTCTGGGTACTTTTGTTTGAGGAAATCTTGAATAATTGTTTGTTCAGAGACTTGAGAACCAACTGCGAACCTGCGCTTCAGTTGCTTTTCAATGCGCGATAACATTTCATGATCTTCTTCCGTGGTAAATCCTTCAGCTCCTAGAATGAAAGATTTTTAAGTTATGTTAGATTGTTGCAACAAAAATCTCGAAAACGTTTAACAATATGTTGATAAATGGTCTAAAGTGTATCTTATAAACACTTACCAGCTAAACTGCCAGTCATAGCGGCGTCTAGTGTGGACACTTGGAACAATCGTAGCGCTTCTGTGACGTGGACTTCTGTAGCAAAAGGCTGCAGTTGCATCTTGCAAGAGATTCAGATATACGGACAATGGCTTCCAGTTGTCTGAAAATATAACAATGAAGAATTTAGTTTTGGTTATGAAAATTAGACAATGATTTTAGTTTCAGTGGTCAATTAAAACACAGACTAGCCAACAAAACAAGACATTTTATAGTATTATTGCAGCTCAGATCACTCATAATCTGAAATAATTTTATTATAGATACGAAAAGTATTCACCTCACTGTAATAGGTATGGACAGACGTTTGTCAACCTGTCTCTCGTGTTGAGAGGCTCCGGTCCTCATAAGCACGTATCGGGCGCGTAGTCTTTCAGCCGCGCTGGCAGAGAGACGTGGGCCACAGCGAGCGCGGCAGTAGGCGGAATACCGCCGCAACAATGCGAGTGGTAGCTCACCAGCCGCAGTCTCACGTTCCACGCTGTCACCTCCCATATGTACTGATATAATGTGCTTCGCTAAAGTCTGAAAGGATAGGACAAGTTGATTTTATCTGCTGATATTAAATCAGCAGAACTAAATGGTTCTATGAATTTTCTAGTGAATTTAACCAGTACCTACAAGTAAAACTTCTGTAGATACTGTTTGCTCATGAGACTAAGGTTCACTTAGGGTTCTCAATAATATGAAAAAACTTACAATGTCCCTGTTTTGGTCATGTTCATCCTTGACAATAAAAATCATGTCGAATCTTGATAGAATAGTTGGCATGAAATCAATATTGTCATCAGCTTTGTGTCATCCCATCGGCCGAACACGGAATTAGCGGCTGCTAGGACTGAGCAGCGGGAGTTTAACGTGGTGGTAATGCCAGCCTGTAAAAATAATAGGAAAATTAAAGTATCTACCTTGTAATCACATATGTTTATTAAAAGAAAACAATAAGTATTATACCTTAGCAATAGAAATAGTTTGCTGCTCCATGCTTCATGGATAGCCACTCGGTCATCTTCACGCATTTTGTCGAATTCATCGATGCATACAACACCACCATCTGCAAGGACCATCGCACCACCTTCCATAACGAAGTTACGCTGTAAATTAGAACATGGAAATTAGATAATTTTGTTATATTTGCAAATATGTCTTGATGAGCTCATGAAAAATTTTAAGTCATAAACTTACGCTGCCTGGGTCTCTGATCACAGAAGCAGTGAGACCGGCTGCACTAGAACCTTTGCCGGAGGTGTACACACCAATAGGAGCGACTTTCTCCACAAACTTTAACAGTTGTGACTTAGCCGTACCAGGATCACCCAGAAGCAAAATGTTAATGTCACCTCGGCGAGTCAGGCCATCGGGTAATCTCTTGCGTGAACCTGTTAAAAGAAGTAAAATATTCATAGTCAAGAAAAATTTCCGAAAAGAAATATTTATATTTCAATACGAAAAAAAGAAAACACACATACCACCAAATAAGAGGCAGGCAATAGCTTTTTTCATGTCTACAGCACCAAAAACACTGGGTGCTATGGACATCGCAATACGATCATAAATATCAGGTGACGCCGCCAGTCTTCGGAACTGCTCCTCTTCCTCAGCAGTGAATGGTCGGAGGCCTCCAGTGACTCCTTCCTCGGCAGTTAGACCGACAGCACGGAGGTAGGAGGAACGAACACCCACGAGCCTTTGTCTCGGCCTTCCTTCTGCAAATATACTTTCGTCAAGGAGCAGCAAGTAGAAATTATATGCAAAAACATAGTAATCAGTAACAGTGTTACAATGGCAGTAAAAGAGTATTATTTATGCCACATTTTCACGCTTTCTTTACCAACTCACCCCAATTTTGGCAATTTTTTTAATGGAATATATCCCAAGCACAGTAACCCTGCGCCAGGGGCGACTCGCTCGCACAGGACACGTTCACAATATACTGTCAGATGACGCGGCATTTCTCCTTGAGGGATACTTTCTGGAGCTTCTTGCAGTTTGAGTACCTGAAAAATTATTTGAAGAATTTGTAGTTTGTCACCTGAAAATCTATTAATCTACACACAAACCATTTTAGATATTAAAAAATGCAAAATGAAGTATGCAGCTGATCTTACCTGGTAATCTATGCACTTGCACTTATCTGGTATGATGAAGTAGGGATCCAATGGGCATTTGGGTCAACCCGCTTGTTCTCTATGAATTAAATATATTTTGCTTTAGTTTAGGTACTCATTATTTTAACCAGTACTCAATTAAAATGGAAAGCAAACAAGAGCCAATAATGAGTAAGGTAATGAATAAATTTCCAGTAGATTAGCACTAACTGATATTATGTTCGTTTTCAAATACATAGAGCACTGTTCCAGGAATACATGTTTAACTTACGTGTTACATTTTCTGGGCATAACATATCCTTCCAATCCAGGCTTCACAGGTAAATTAGGAATGATGTTGCGACATGACCTGCATTGAATAGAGATCTTTGTTGCTTTGGCTTTGATCCCCGAGGCAGATATAACAATGCCAGGTATCTTTACAAGTCGGGAGACAGTTTCAGACTGTAAAATTAAGATAACATTATTATTTACTGTCAGTAAGATCCACTTTAGCTGCCTGAGGCCTTAGTACGAGTTTATTTTACATTAAAAGTAATTAAAACGAGACTGCATTCGGCACTCTGATTGATTAGTTCATTGGAGCCGGCCCATCAGAGCGCCAAACACATAATAAAGTTTTTTTAAGACTCATAAAGTTATAAAATAATTATATTACTATAAAACTGTATATAGATAGGTACACCTACTTTTAATTCCCTCAGATTAGCAGCATGTGCATCTGAAGACAATAGGACTTGTATGTCTTCAACTTTTTCTTCCCCTTCAGGTCTTGGCGCTGTCAGCTCATCAGCCAACTGGAACATTTATACCAGTAAAATTGTTATCAAAATCAAAGCATTTATTTCAATTAAACCATAATTTGGTACTATGAAACATTAACAAATACAAAATAAATAATAGTCTGTCAGTGAAGCTAGGTGTTCATCCTAAAATGTAGATTCAAATGGAGAAGAACGAGAAAGAAATTCCAGACATTAATCTTTAAAAAAATAATTTGTTTTACAATCTCTCTGATACATTATCCAATATTGTATGTATATGTGAAAGTAGTGTAAAGACACACTTGACGCATTATACAATTTACTAAAATAAAAATCTTGTGTTTATACAAACTTGCATGCATGTAGGTAATGGAGCTTTTATACACAACTAGCAAACCCGGCGAACTCAGTTACGCCAACCAGATGGTTTCGTTTTATGTAACATCTCGTTTGGTGATTAAAAGATGAAGATTTTTTTTTTGTTTTGTATTTTTATAAAACTCACAGAGCCCGAGACCTTTCCAACGAATACAAACCAGTGGAAATCGGTTCGTGCGTTCTGGAGTTATAGCGTCAGAAAGGAAAACCCGACTTATTTTATTATACACAATAAAGAAGCCACATAATGCTTCTTAATACTTTAAATGTGTAGTTATAAAAATAAAAAACAAGATTTTTACACACAAGATTCTTATTAGATTGGACAGACTCTATACACGGAAGTGTTAACACTGGTTTTGAATACTAGTCTAAGAGTAAAATAAATGGATCTAGAGTAAGGACATAGTAACATATAGATTTCAATGCAATTAAGTACTAAAGTTGTACCTCTTTAGCTGCTTCCTCCAATATAGGCAAATGTTCTGTAGGCTTTTTGTACAATTTCTCAGCTAAAACCTCATCAAAACTAGATAAATCTTCAATGTTTATCTCCACCCAGTAATGACTTAGGTTGTAGTTGCGTTTTAAGGCGTCTCTGTTAAAAAGGTAGTATTAAGTAAATATAAAAGTTAAAGAGTAGGAAGGCATAATTAGATGAATAAAGTTGCAGTGATAAAGTTACTAGTTAAGGAATTAGGGCACAGAATATTTACCTGTATTTGTAGTTAAAGTTACCGGTGTGGAACTGTCGGATAAATTCTTTAAACTTCTTTTTTACTGCTTGTAGGTTAAGTTGATCTTGAGATTCGTTTTCCTCGACGCCGAAGTTATCGGAGAAAAAGACACCAGGGTCATCAAATCCTTCCATTGTTACTAATTATTGGTATCCAAAAGCAAACAAGTATGATATGCAAGAGTTATTGTTCACAAACAACAACAGGCATACTCGAGTCGAACTTCCAAGCCGGATTTTGGCGCGTAATTTTGACGTTATAAAATGAAAGACGTTGACAGCAAGGTGAATTTAAGTTAGGGGACGTTTCATTTCACTTTCGGTAATACTTTACAAGCATCAATGTTCTTTATTTGCATGACCTGATATTTTTACAAGTGGATATCAAATAAATTGATTGTAATAATCAAACTGTAAATATAACGTTGAAAAATTAAAAACAACTAAAACTGTATGTACTGATGTTATTGAAAGTAACCATCGAAATTACTATGGCAACATTAAAATATTTTTTGGCTCGAAATTTAAAATTATTGAAGTTTGGTTGCCTTGACGAATTTTTTTGTTTATAGTAAACAGTTTCACCATAAAGCATACAATTTCTAATACGCCTTGATTTTATTATTTTTATTTCATAAAAATGATTTAATCGTGTACTATTAGGATAGGTTCTGTGAGTGAAACCTAAAAAAGCGTGCAACATGGGTGATGTAAGTATATTTCCTGTTCTTACTTATAATATTGTCTGCTACCTAAATCTTTTTGAACTCGATGGTGTTCTGTATTTTATGCATTTCAGGGTATATTATTATTATGTTATATATGGTGCGCGTCACCAAGTAGACGTTGTATCTAATGTTTTAGTACAGCCATATACTATCCTTCTTTTATATTATATTTGTCTGGTCTCATGTCCTCAAGGCCCCAGTCCATCTCCATTTTCTCTCTCAACAAAGTGTCGAAATGCTTTCGGAAAAATTCAGAATAGAAAACCATTTTGTAGATACCTCGTCCACAAGCCTTATGATGTCCAATTGATGCAATTAGATGTTATTCTGATAATTTTCTTCTTTTAGCAAAAAGACGAAGTTGATAGAAGATTGGAATTCTTAAGCGAATATTTGTTAAAAACATTGAAACAAAAGATTGAAAAATGGAATAAGTTCATTACTGGCGATGATAAGGTTTGTATCCATTATGGTGACATATTAAAGAATCAACTTTCCATTGCAAACCTCATCATGAATATAAAATTGGTTTCAGCACATACTTTTTAGATTTTTCGACACTCCAAAGTATGAAGTATTAGTGTTTCGAATGAACACGGCCGGCCTGCTTACATGTACTTTGTCGTTTCCACCTCTTAGCAGGAGCAAGATGGTATATCTGCTGAGAAATGTTGATGAGAAAATAACGCAGGCGAATTTTCGACAGGTAACTTATGAATTTTAACCTATGTAATTAGTTTGACTCAAACATCAACAACTTTTACTATAGTCGGCGCCGTAGCACAGTCTTTACTCTGCAGTAGTCAATTAGTTACGCTTTAGCAGATGAGTACAATAAAATACTTCGCAGTACCACTTCGCACAGTAATAATGCGTATAGACGTATCCTCATGACTAGCGTAGCAAATGAGTCATACCGTAGGATATGAGTTACACCGTACCATGAGTTACGTTGTAGCACTTAAATTACATCGTAGTAGGAGTGTGACGTCGTTGCATGAGAGGTACGTTGTACCACACAAGTTACGTCGTAGTACGAGTTACGTCGTGGCACGAGATACGTTGTAGCACGAGAGTTACGTCGTAGCACGAGAGTTACGTCGTAGCACGAGAGTTACGTCGTAGCACGAGAGTTACGTCGTAGCACCAGAGTTACGTCGAAGCACGAGAGTTACGTCGTAGCACCAGAATTACGTCGAAGCACGAGAGTTACGTCTCGGTACACGAGTTACGTCGTAGCAAACGAGTCACGTCGTAGCACGAGAGTTATGTCGTAGCTGATGGTTAGGCCGTAATATGAGAGATACGTAGAAGTGCAAAGGTTATATCTTAGCACCTGAGATACGTTGTAGTTTAGCATAATAAAATAACTTACTTTATAAGCATTATATTGAACTACTTCTGCCCACGACTTCGTACACGTAATCCCGTTTCTTCCCGTTCCCACAGGACAGTTCCTTTGTTCGTCTCCTGGTTTTACGCTATCTGCGCATCAATTTACGGCCAAATTTATTTAATCGTTCTTGAGTTATAAATAATGTAGGTAACTAACACGACTTTTCTTTTATAATTATCTTTTATGATATTTGTTTACTTTAACAGGCCGTAACTATTGGGGAAATGTCAGGTAACGTATTGAACGACTTAACTGTGTTGGCTGACGAAGTGATCGGTCCTCTTCTGTGTAACCCAGAAAATCAAAGGGGATGGCCTAGGATAGTACAGAATGATATGCGGAGACATGTCAACGAACTCAGGAATTTGATGTACCAGGTTGGTATAATTAAAAAAATATTGCAACTGTTACAAAATTATGGTCCACAGTACGCAGATAAAAATAATATATCTCAAATTGCAGTTAAAAGGAGAAATGACTAGTCAAGTGTTACTACCGATGCCTGCGGGCGTAGAAACCATTTATCAAGCGGAATCTAGGTTAAAAGAAAGGTAAAAGAACAAAATACCTACGAGTTTCGAAGATGAAAATGAGTTGATTAATTATACATGATTGTGCTTATTTTATTTCGTGTTGTAGCGATGGAGAAGATGTAGACTTGTATTTGAAAACCAACATAGAGGGAGCTATAATAAAATGGACGCAACAAGTTCATGACTTATTGGCACAGGATTCTTATATTGGTGAGCATTGTAGTTAACTATAGGTACAGATAATTTTAAGTTAAAGATAGTCAATCATCAAATCAAATCATTCCAGATTTGATTTTTTGTGTCTTTGATACTTTTCGTCATAGATTAAGTTTTAGATAGGTCGTATGATAATACTTATTTGTACAGGAAATCCCTGCTCTAGGAGTTTGCGAGCTAATTATTAAAGTGTTTTACTTTTCACTATTTTTTTATATGTTCACAATTTTGATCATCTCTATTAATTGGACATGTTGTTCATAGCATTCAAAAGAACGAAATTTCCCCTACCGAGTGCGGATTTAGAATTCTACCAACAGCGGCTGAAGAATCTAGAAGGTATATACTCACAACTGCGAGATCCTCGGGTCAAGAGGATGGCACATTATCTGGAGGACACGAAGAGCGTGTACTTGAGCTGCTTCAAGACCATGCTTACCAACGTGGTAGCTGGTGGGTTTCAATTTCCACACCTATTTGTAGTACTTATCTTGTTCATCTATACTATAATATTATAAAGCTGAAGAGTTTATTTTTTTGTTTGTTTGTTTGAACGCGCTAATCTCCGAAACTACTGGTCCGATTTGAAAAATTCTTTCTGTGGTGGATAGCCCATTTATCGAGGAAGGATATAGGCTATAAAATATCACGCTACGATTAATAGTAGCGGAGCAGAACGAGTGAAACCGCGCGGAAGTAGCTAGTGTAAAGATAAAGTTCTAATCTACAAGTATAATACAAGAATCTTATCAACTACAACGTCCTTGCTTCCCGTGAGTTCTATTTCTTTTGTCGTCTAAAATTACGATGTGCCAGGCATTGGCCGTAGGTGGGAAGGGATTTATTACCCAATAAATTACCGAACTTTTATCCGATAAAATAGACCACATCAGTAACTTAATATGGTCAATATTATTATTACATGTTGTACGTTCCAGCTATTGTGGAATGTCGTGATATATTCGTGTATCAGAGACCCTTGCAATCACACTTCGAAACATTTGAAGCAACAGAATTCGTTGAAGGAAAGCATTTGATCAGACCGATGCTCCATTGCATCGGACTACTGTGGGGCAATTCTAGATACTTCTGCAGCGTCGAAAAACTTATTCGTAAGTGTACACTTGGAGTAAAATATTACATTGTTATATATAGTCCTCCTTACCGATTTCGGCAACGGCGACCCTTAATAGCTATCTCCTGTCGTGTGCCCTGATGTGACTGGCCAGACCAGGTTTTTATTGTTAAACCTATGTATTAAGTCTGTATTCTAGGTAAAACATTCTTGATACCGTCATCATTATAGTAGGTACATAATTATTATGATTATGGATTTATTAATGCATTTCCTACATATTTTTACAAACAGCTTTGCTTCGTGAAGTATGCAACCTTGTAATACAGCAAAATTCAAACTGTGTCGATCCCCCGACTATATTCCAAGGAGAGCCCGATGAACAACTGATCAAGATTAGAAAGTCTCTCCATATTTTGAATCATTTCCTGTAAGTAATCCATACGTACGTACCTAACCTCACGCCTGTCTCCCATGGGGGTAGGCCTAGGCAGAGACTATGCTAAAGACAGATAACTGTTGATGTAGTAAAAGATGTATGTAAGAATCGTTGCAATTGCCATTCCATAGTAATATAAGTAATATTATGGCAACATTATTTATATACTTTTCCTATATTTTTTTTTATCAGTGTCAGTTGTAAACCATTGATATGCAATGAGGTTTGGTATTTATTAATTTTATTTTGATATTCATTTGTAACATCTAGTGAGACGTACGAGATGAACCGGGACAAGGTGAACACATTCTTCCCTCAAGGGGTGTTGCCAGTGCGGTGGTCTTTCGATTTTGATCGCGTCTTCAAACGATTCAATATATACCTGAAGCGACTGAAAATGATCGAAAATATACTAGAGTCTACTGTAGAAATTCTGAAGTTGGAAAAAGTAGAGTTTTGTGGCCTAAGAGGCAAGATATTGAGTACCGAATGCATGAAGGTAAGAATGTTAAATTCTTCATTTTTGTGCTTATTCCTTTAGTAACAAATATGACTGCATTTAGTAAACTTTCATAATAGCAACTGAGCAATCATAGGAGGCGAGTCATTTGTGTTCTTTCAGTTTTTAACGGATCATTTTTGGAATACCAATTATAATTCTGTATTATTTAATTAGCAACTTTAAAAGAATAATTTTTACAGGTGTTAGATGATTACTCGTTGAGATACAACTATTTGGGTAACATACAATATGACCCGGCGGATCCAGAAGACGATTCATTCTTGGCAGACTATGACGCCCATATGGCGGTACTAGATGATGTAGACCGACGACTAGCGTCTTTGTTCTCACAAGGACTTGACGAGTGCCATAATTTGGAGCATTTCTTTAAGGTATTGTTGGAGATTTATATTGTAGGTGAAAATGAAAATACTTGAGTTTAAATCATAAATGCATGATCTTAAATTCTTTTTTTGTTTACATCCATATAAATCTGGTTAAAGTTTTGTGTTTGCGAGAGCCATGCTTCGGCATGAATCTGCCGGCTCGACCGGAGTACCACGGTGTCACAGAAAACCATCGTGAAATAACGCTTGCGTTGTATTTTTTTTTTTTTTTTTTTTTTTTTTAAAAAAACGTTGCCCCACACTAGGATTTTCTCCTGTGTCGTGGGTGCGTTTACAAACATACAAGTTCACAAACACAATGACACCCAGACCCGAAACAACAATTTGTGGATCACACAAAGTGTTGTTCCGTGCGGGGATCGAACCCGCGACACGTTGCACGGCAGCCGGTTGCCCAGCCACCGCACCAACCGTGCAGTCGATTTTGCCTGCGAATGAAGTTACCGGATACCCAATTATGCCCCTCTCCAATCTCCTCTCATATCCTAAACCCCCAAAAGACCGGCAACGCACTTGTAATACGTTCTGGTGTTTCGGGTATCACCTTAAGTGAGGATCAGTCAATAAGATTAATCTGTTTGTCTTACCTTTCAGTTTTTCCAAATCATTGGAGATCTGTTTCACCGGCCTATTATCAAGAATGAATTGAAGCCGAAATTGCCCAGGTTACTTGATTACATGCACGCCAATTTAGACGCTGTTAAAGAAATTTTTGACGAAGAAATGGCGGTGAGTTTGAAGCGGATAGATACAAATTATTTAGAAAAAATATACTTAAGTGTTTTACAATGCGAAGGCATCAATTCTTTATTAAAGTCACCTAGACATATTATGTCTAGGTGACAAATTCTATAAGAAGAATGTAGTGATTTTGTTCTTCGCTTAGTTCATTTTAGAACTATACATACGTATAATTCCCCTCATCTCATTTTGTACAGAAAATATCCCGAGGGCCGGAACGACCGATGGTGGATCCGTATCTACCACCAGTTGCTGGTATGCTCTGGTGGATTCACAAACTTCGCAGGAGGATTCAGTCACCTATGGAAGATTTTATCATGTTTGAAGATCCGTAAGTACTATTTTGATGATGGTATTAATAGTACTACAATGATGATGTCGAGGTGGCCCGGAGGTTTTAGACGACAAATATCAATGTGACTTTTTCCGAGCTATAAGTATACACTTTCTAACATTATTAAAACGGCACTAGCAAACCGTGAAGGAAAACATCGTGAGGAAACCTGGGTTTATAATTTGTAATTATAAGTTTGAACCGCCAACCCGCTTTGAGCAAGCGTCGTGATTAATGCTCAAACCTTCTCCGTGTGAGATAGTTTGCTTACAAGTGGGCATTTATAGGCTGTTGGTGATGATGATGATGATAAATCAGATAACTTTTTGTATCTGACAGGTTTATAATCTCTAGTAAGGTTTTTAAACTTCTGAAGGAAAAGGGTGGCGACATTCTTCTATTAACAAAGTTAATACAAATTCGGCCAAAATCCTATTTTACTTTTTAACTTGATCTTTGTTAGGACTGTACGTTTATTTATCAAATTAATATTTTATTTCACAGTATAATAGAATCAGAATACGCGTTGTATATGAAACAAAAGACGAATGAAATGCTGGGCTACCTGAACGTGGCCGAGGACAAACAGTTCAAGGCGTGGTGTGCTACTGTACCTGGTATTTGCAAAACTCATCTTGCCAAGAATCTAATATACCGAGATCCACCTTTTGTTCGCAATAACTTCAGTCCTGAGGTCAGTTTTTACACATACTGAAATAAGTTTATATGTGTTTAGGTAACCGCTATCAAATTGAGTGCCCAAAAATTTTGCTACTCTCAGTAGTCGACCTACACTGCCAAAAATTACTTTTTATTACTAGTGTTTGCATTTCAGAATAAAAACCTAGATGAGATTGTTAAGTAGTTCGATTTTCTTTTGCAGCTTGTAATGTTACTACGGGAAATACGTTACATGAAATACTTGGAAAAACAGGGTATCCCTCAGGATGGTTTGGATCTTTACAACAGAAATGAGAAATTACAGGTGAGTAGGCACGAATACGAATGTGCTTAGTAAGCAAAAACTGTATAACGGATATATGTTAATTCGAGTCACATGCATTTTATTAAATAAGGTTTTATTTTGAAAATGGGTGCCTTGTACTGCACACAATGTAGGCCGAACAGTTTAACCATCCATGGTACTAGGTCATTAGGAGACGTAGGTGATGTGTTGAAAATTGTGAAACAGCACCACGTGAGTGACTGCTGAATGTATGTCTTCAAAATTCTCTGGAGTAGCAGAGCTTGGAATAGTACCCAATGGATGTTAACAGCTCCGTGTTACGTGTTGTATACCTATCTAACTCTTTTATTTTCCAAATCTGTGGCTGTGACTTTCTGTTGTGTTACAAAGTGATTCTCAATTATTTGCCAGTATGATATGAATCGCCTGAACCGCGCAATAGCGTGGTACAATGCGATCCGTGAGGGTAGCCACGAAACGGAGGTGGCGCTCATTGAGAAGGAGATATCTGCCATTGACCAGTTGCTGGGTCACGGTGTGGAAGAACTCACTTGGAATGATGACTGTAAGTCTTGACACATGTGAAAAATATTTCTATGTTACGTTTTTCTTGTTACTACTTTTACTGACGTCACCCGGTTGGTGCAATATAAAGTATACGTCTCCTTTTCCATTTTCCCCGACTATTATATCGTAAACTCTCGTGTAGATCGAAGTTTCAATAAAAGAATTATGTGTCTAATACATATAATAAAATCATAGGATTTACTTCAAATTTTGCATGAATATTACTAATAGGTCGGGTTAACATATAGGCTACATATCATCACGCTATCATACAGGGGAGGAGCTGTGAAACACTCTTCCACGCGAATCGTGGGCAACAGCTAGTGTGTCTTATAGAGGACTACTACGAGAATTTTAATTTTGGTTCAAATTGCACACTTTAGTAAAACATAACCTTAATGCACAATTTAACTGTTCTGTATTAAATTGAATTAAATGATCTGTATAGTTACTGATTGGATGGCGGAAGTATACACTGCGATAAACACACTACAAGAGCGGGTTTTGACTGCTCAGAACAACGTGAAGCGAGGGTTGGCTAATATCGCGACGTGGGGCGACATACCATTGCATAACCGCAAGGCCAACCCTGATAAACTAGAACTGCTCGCTGTTAATGAACGACATAGGAGATTCTTATATAGGTACCAATACATTATTTATAGTTTTTAATAATAATATTATACTTTATCCATTTACGAGATCAGGAATTTCCAACTATTAGAAAGGCGTATAGTAAGTGCCAACGCCAACTGCACAAAGGATCATTAAACAAGTTTTAAATTAAAGGAGACGCAAATATCGTAATTGTATACTTTAGACTGTGCAAAACACAATTCTCATAGATAATTTGTTTACAGGAGAAACGATATCCTTGCAAGCCATAAAGAGTTCCAAGAAATATTGAAAGATAATTATAAACTGTTCTTCAATATAAAGGATGAATCTGAAGAGGTAACAAGTGAATTATTTTATTAAATGTCACTAGTCAACCGGAGTCCTGTGTGGCCGTTATAGTTCGGCGGGTTTCCTCATTATCCGTATATGGAAACCTTGCGAAGCCCTTTGACTTGGCAAGCGGCTTGGGGATTATAGCAAGGTTATCGAAGTTTGCCTGTCCCTTAGTAACTCCTTATCGGTTAGGACTATTCAGGTCTGATATCGGAATATGCTGTGAATATAATTATGCCTTTATTGTACCATAGGATCAATTGGAGGAAGAGACATTGGAAGAAGTAGACGAATCTACGTTAGATGATGAAGAAAGAGAAGCAAGGGCTAAAAAACTTCAAGAAATTGAAGCAAGGCGTGAGGAGGCACGTTTAGCTAGAGAGGAAAGGGACCGAGAGAAGGCAATAAAAGATCAGATTAAGTTTGAAAGACGAGAGGCTCGTCGGTTGAAGAGAGAAATTAAAGAATTTGAAAAGGCTGAGAGACAGGCTCGACGAGCAGAAGGTACGTACTACACGATTTTAATTAAAATACAATTTGTTTAAGAAGTTTGCTTTGCAGTATCCATGTTTTTTTCTAAGCCAAGTTGTGACGACAGCATAGAATACTATGACTGTTCCCTCGCGAGTCATAAGTGCCGACTGGGGTTTACAAGTTTTGTAATACACATTATGTTAATGTATTTGGTTTAGGCGAGGAGGTGGACTCGCCAGCCGAGGAAGTGGAAGAGTTAGATCCCGAAGAATTAGCTGATATTGAAGAAGAAAGACGTGAAATGGAGGAAGAGGCATTCAGAGCATCGCGTTGGCCGGCCTATGTGAAATACGTGGACTCACTTGTAATTTTCTACCTTTTTATGAATATCAATTCTATTCTATTCTAAAGAAACAAAATGAATATACGTATTGATAACGTCATGTGGTCAACAAACGAAAAATCATACATCTTTGTTTGCTACTGCTAGAATAATTATTATTGTTTGAAAATTACTAAACAGTATAATGCGGATGTTTAACTTGCAGGTTTCTCGTCAAATAATGAAAGCTGTGCAGACTAGTTTGAACTTGTTTGAGAAACAGACTGACTTGGAAAAGGGTCCGAGGGTGGCGTTTATGGAAGTGATCGCTGAGCTTAGAGATCCAGGTATGTTACATAAATAGGTTTTTGAGACGTATATAATGTATCATGTTAGTAGTAGTTGGTGCTCGCAAACGCAACTACCCGAGTAAAGAATTTCGACGTTTACTTATGGTTGGGGAAGAGGATTTTGTAAGAGGTTCAGTAAGTCGTCAGGACAACGGACTCTTTATTGGTTTTGGTGTAAGATTTTAAAATGATTATTTATTTTTGCATATACGATATCTTTTGGGAAATCCCATGATATTGTTATGATATATATTATTTCAGATATTTATTTCTCTCCGTCTCTGGATGTGATGGAAGAAGACGGTCTTTTCTATACTCTGATGGAAATGATGAAGGATATGTTCCTACAGACCACACTGTTTCCTAGAATAGACCCGATTATACCCATAGCTTCTTATGAAGGTACGTCTTTAGAAACTTTTTTAATGTAAGAAACTGTTTAAGTAGCTAGCATGGATTGGAAGATGCGAAGATCCTGGATTGCGATTGGATGATAGCTATCTTTCGACTTATGAAATAATGGACAATGAAATTTGGTTTAGCAGTGACTAGTGATGATGTTGATGAATTTGAGTGGTGTAGCTCGTCTTCATACACTAGTCTAGGATTTTAAAAAACGCTTTAGATAAAGTTTCTCTCTCTGGTCGTTCCCTCATGGCTGAGGATTGTGATTGTACCGGCACAACCAAGAAAAAAAAATATCATCACTCTGTAAATTGTCTCCATTGACTCTTATTTGTTAAAGTTTAAGCAACATTTATTTTAAAAAAACTAATGAAATGTTCTTTTAATAACATTACTTTAGTTATATAATTATATTATGAAGTTTTCCTTTCCGTTTTTGTAGATGATTTAATTGGCGAGGATGCTATGATTGATTTATACCATGAAATGTTGAAAAGAATTGAAAACAGCATTAACGACATCGCTCAGTACTCGTCGGTATGTAATATTTCATCTCATGCTACTTACAGTTGAACAAGTATTTAATTTTATTTACATAATATAACTTTAGTCACTTAAAAAATAAACGACTGTTTAAGTGGTAGTGTAACTTTTTAAAATTGCCCATTCCACGGAACATATCTAATTAGAGAAAAATAGGCGTTGTATTTAAAGTATAAAATTCTGCATAAAATCTTTTGTAATTTGTAAATTCTATTAGTTAATCGTTTAAAACTTGCAAGTAAACATTATTTCCGTTATCCTCAAGAAATATGAGAAGTACACGCCTCTGTGGACAGAAGACAGGCAAGAAGTTCTGCAAGCGTTCTTGAAGTATGGCAGATTCATACCACCAGAAGAATTTGATAAGTATAGATTTGAGAACCAATGCGATCCTCCAGAAGTGAAACCTACTTTAGAACAATATCAGGCAGAGGTAAGACTTAACTTAGAACTTAATATATTTACTTATTTATACAAAATTCTCACATTATTAGGACGTAACATACCATTACGCCTTTTATCCTTGAAGGGGTAGGCAGATGTGCACATTACGGCACTTACTGCCATTGCACAATGTAATAAATTATTAGGAGTGTGTGCTCATAATTCGATCTTTTAGCATATTAAACGCCATGGGGGTCATCGGTGACCGGCGTTAGCGGAGGATTTACCTTCAACAGTTTTTTATTGGCAGTCAAAGTCATAAGTGATCAAACTATGTTAGTATTTTTACTGTATACAATTTTGTCAATGGAGTCGGTTACGTAGCCTTTAATTGTGTCGTCTTGCACATAAAATTTAAAGAACACTTAAGCTTTGTGTTATTACTATAATGAACGTTTCCACCCACCCCTTAATTATTTCTTAACTAGAAGTTACTTAGCGTGACGTAACACCTGAACTCACCTCTTTATTGGTTAGTGTAAACTATAATATCTTTAAATATCACCTAAATTAGCTTAGGGCTTTCTTAAAATTTAAGAGAGACCCGTCAGTCATGTATGAAAATACAAAATTGACTGAAAGAAACAATCAAATTGTAGATAGACAAGTACAATGCAATGTACGATGAGGTGGCGGCTCTACCTTCCGAGTATCTATGCAACGGTTGGCTAAAGTTGGATCTCAAACGGCTGAACCAAGCCATCATGAACATTATATGCAAGTGGAGTAACCTTTTCAAAGAGAATTTGAAAGACCATGTGCATAAGAGGTAATTTTATTTTAGTAGAACATTTTGAAATGAGCTTTAGGTATAGTCTTTACGGTTGATCTTACAAGTTTAATGACCATGATAATTATTATTATTATGCAATTGAAATATATACCTACATATAAATTTTATAATTGCTCGTGGCAATGCCATAGCTTGTGTTTTCGCATCATTGTGCCGAAGATTTGAATTTGACAAGTCATTTCAATTTTATCCACAACTCATCCTCGTAAGCTTTCGCATTTATTTAGGATTGATAGATCGGAAATACTTGTTTATTTTAGTTTCTGCCATAATTTATACTGATATGTATTGAATTTATATTTAGTTTGGATGACCTTGAAGAGTTCATAGCGTATGCAACTAAAGCGTTATCAGTGGAACTAGCAGAAGATGATTACGATGGCTTACTCAAAGTGATGGGAGTGCTGAATGAGGTTCGAGCCAAGATGGACGCCGACACTGACCACATGTTTGAACCACTCAGAGATATTATAGATGTGCTTAAAGAATATGGTGTTGAGTTCCCCGAGGAAACTTATGAACAGGTATGTTGTTTATCGATTAATTTTATCGTTTATTTTATTGTTTTCTTATGTTTCCATGATAGGCTTTTAAGATGAAAAAGAACAGTTACAAGTTTGCACCATGCATTCTAACTGGTCTGAACGTAAACATAAAAATAGTGATTTCTATAAATTACGTAAACATGTTTAATAGTTCTATCTAGGACGGTCTGTTATTCTCAGTATATGTGTATGTTTTTATGTTAATGCTTTCTGGACGTCAGGGCGAGACGAAACATAAGTATTCTGTATACACGTTGGTAAGCAATACAATATAGAATGATAATGCACTATGCTTATAGCCTAAACTTTTATTATAAATTTTATTTAAAAAATCTGCTATACCTAAGTCATTGATTTTTTGTTATCACTAACCCGATTAAACAAACAATGATAAAATTGTATTATTCAACCATGCTTCAATTTAATGTTTAGCGACACTATTTTCAAAATGTTTGTAGCGTTTATTTTTCTTTCAGTTATTTTCTCTGTAACAATGTATGTGGTAATAGACACGAAATTTACATACTTAAATACTTACCCACAAATTCACAATATTTTATTTCCCATTAGCTGGATGTGTTGCCTGAGAAATGGCGTAACTTGGTGAAGCAAGCGACGGTAATGAAGAACACGGTGGCACCGCTGCAAGCTGCTCAGGCCGCACTCATTGCCAAGCGAGTGGCACTCATCAACCTACGGCTTAACATGTACAGGGAACAGTTTAAGACTAAAGAGGTAAATATGCTTATTAATCTCTGTATTATGTAGTGTTTAAGTATCGGTATTTAGAAGGTGTGTGAGTATGTATGAGTATACTGTCGTCGTCGTGAAGAGGTTAGAAAAAGTTTCGAAAATGTTTTGTTTTCTTACGAGCCTATACGTACGCAACAACTAGTACATCGATAAGAATTATAAGTTCCAGCGTAAGCTGCAATATACCATTTATTTAATTTCAATTATAAATGGTCACAATCAAACGAAAATATAAACTGTCACTCTATTTGCTCCCAAGTCGTAACCGTAACTACAAAATAAAAGCCTTCTCCATTCGCGTAGAATTACCTCTCTTCATATTATTCTACCCTAGTAACTTCGCACAAATTCCTGAAACGTCGTCGCTGCGACGTCATGCCCTACGTCACACAGTCAGTAGTTCAAAGCTAAAGTTCTCTATAAAGCATCTCCCTTCGGTTCATGTTGTCCTAGTACATTCGCTCGCTGTTGCGACGGTTTTCGAACAATTACGTCACCGTAAACGTCACTGCGTCGTCGCTACGATTCCCGTCTACGTCGCGCGTCGATGTTACGACTTTCGTAACTCGATATTAGATATTACTACGGTTTAACTGTTGATTAAGTGCTGTTGGCAAAAATATTATTTAAATATTTTCATCATTTTTGAGTATTTTCATCATACAAAGTTTATTCATATTTTGTTCAATAACAAGAATATAGTTTTATCACCCCTCCAGAACAATCTACAAATGAAATAGCAATACACACATTGAATGTCTCACGCTCACAATCCACTCGTTCAAAGGGTGGGTTTGTGTGTGTGGCTAGGGGCGGGAACCACCCGCCCCTCGCAACCATTGCGAGATGAATCTGCACATTCTTGTTCATGTATGGACTCCTAGTACTTTGTACCAAAATGTTGAATACTTCCGCAATTGTTGCGTCATTTCATGACATCACTGAGCAACAGAGATGAGTTATTGGTATAAATTTATGACGAAAGCGGGATCACCCCATGACTCTCCTTGCTTACACGTGGCAACCAGCGAATGTAAGAGCTGTTTAAATTTTTGCGACCCTGGTAAACTTGACCGGATCACTGAAACGTTACGCTACGCGTTGCCCTTGGCAACGCTCTGTTGGTTGCTACGGTGCTACGGAGTCTGCTACGAATATGAATTTCGTAGCTGCTACGAGTAATTGAACAAACTAATTAATTTACTCAAATCGTAATGAATTCTATAATAATAACTAAAGTATATATTTGTAATTATGATAATATTGGTCTGTACTGTCAATATGTAAAATTGATAATGTAATATTATTTTAATTTTCGAATAACAAGGTCAATTTCCACGTTTCAATAACACGGAGCAGTTATGTGTTATTGAAACGTGGAAATTTGTTAGTATAATATTTATTACACACACACTTAATCTAAGACTAACTGTGTGTGTCAGGAGTATGTGATGGTTGGCGCATGCCTGTGTAGGTTTACGCCTACATCGAAATTCGACCTGCTTCTGTCATACACAGAACCACACACTCACCTAGAGCTTTGTCTGTGAAGCTCTGTGTGTTTTGAAGTACTTTAAATGTGATCTCTCACAAACTGATGGTCGCCTAGTACTTTGTAGCGGGGTACTGGAGACTTTGACCGTTATTATCGTTACGGGAACTCATAGTAACGACTTAGCTATGAGTACAATTTAATAGCATTTTAAAAACTTATTCTAGTACTATTTCATATTGTGTAAAAAACATAAAAGCAACAAACAATAGTTTCCGTCATTTTTTAAGCATAAGTTGCAATTTTCTTTTGTTTTGAAATCAGACAAATAAAAATCTTTGTTTTAGATGTTCCTCGAATCATGTAAGGAACCGTATAGAAGTATTGATAAAGTCAACCAGGAGCTTGTAGGATTTGAAGACATATTAGAGGGGTTAAAGAAATCCTGTGGTTTGTTCGATATCCAACCTCCTGACGAGAAGAATCTCAAGCAATGCAGACGCGAACTTAAACTTATCAAGGTGAGGTTCATATTTCTTTGGCATAGCAGTTTTTAGCTTTGTAGTAACCCGAATTTTTTTTTATTTATATGATTGTCATGTAATATACAATAAGCTATTATAGTACTAGGTACATATTATAACACAGTACACACCTGTTTTATGAAAGTTACAATTGGATATATTTGTTTTGCTAACAGCAATTATGGGATTACTATTACTTGGTGATGGGATCCATTGAATTCTGGAAGAAGTCACCGTGGAAGAAGATTGATGCTGACGGCATGGATCAGGAGTGTAAACGATTTACAAAGGATCTGCGACAGCTTGACAAGGATATGAGATCATGGTGAGATAGTTATAAATAGACGCTACCTTTCCTCCTGCAGCTTCGCCCGCATGGTGGATATGAAACAAAGATAAAAACACTTTCACATTTATAGTATTCGTAAGGATTAGTGTAATGTAGCAATAATAATGTGACTAAATCAAGGTACTGAATATTTTTCTATTTAAGTACTACCTACGAACTTTACAAGTGTTTTTCAACATTAAAGTAAAGTGAAATAATTAACTAAAAATCGCGGGTTACTCAATGTTGCTCAGCCTACTCTATATCGCTGCGACCGCGCACGTTGCTCATGAGGAAGAACCCGTCTATGGTTCGAAACTAGTAGAGCGTTTCTCAGTATATGCACGTGAGTAACCTGTGATTTTTAGTTAATTTAGTGTGTCTCACGATAGTTATTATTATAAAATCAAAGAAATAATGTTTGAAATTATAAACTTACTGAGTCGTTTTTTTTTTACAACTAATCAAGGGATCTTGTGACAGGGAGCCGTATGGCGTAACAGAATCAACAATTAAGAACTTGATGACATCTTTGAGAGCCGTCACTGACCTACAGAACCCTGCTATTAAGGACAGGCATTGGTTAGAACTGATGATGGCACCAAGGTAAGAAAAACTCCAAAAATAAACAATAATTGCACATTTTGTACATACATTTTCAAATTATTTCTTCATTTCATCTAGAAAGTGGTGCATTCGCATGTCATGACCATCAAAACCAGGCATTCATATGTAGAAACACCATCCATTAATAGAACGTTAAGTAAATCATTAGATGATATTATGAAAGAATTTGAATCATTAGAAGATGTAGCCGTAGAAAGTAATAAAGTAAACAGTAATAATATAATGAAAGTGGATTACGACAAAATTTACAAATACAAGACTACAGAAGACCGAAGCTGCAAGAAGCGAATAGAATAAGCACATTTAAGTTTAATAAATCATATTCTTGAAAGAAATGAAGCAACAAGGCTTCGAACTGAAGTCTTTGGGATATACGCCGCAGTTAAAAACACAGCATCCTATAATATTGTCAGAATTCATCATGTAGAAATTAGATAATTTATTATTAGTAAGTGTAAAATAATAATTGTTATAAGGTAAGCCTTTTTCATATCATTTTAATTAACTCTACCTGTTACTTTGATCCATAACTACAACATAAATTACAGGCACTTAACGACAAACCATTTTATTCTTTGTATTGCTTCGATAAATTAAACGTATATATAGGTTACGTAAACTTATGCATTTTATTTGTGAAAATCATTTCCAATTTCCTTAAATTTCTATAGGTTAAGTTCCAAATCGATGACGACACAACACTGGCAGACTTGCTCGCTCTAAATCTACACAAATATGAAGAAGAGGTGAAAACTATCGTCGATAAATCTGTCAAAGAAGCTGCTATGGAGAAAACTCTCAAGTATGTCAATAGTGCGTGCAAAACAAGTGCGATAGAATTAAAAAAACTAATGCTTAGTTCCCCACTCTATTTTCTTGTTTATCGCCTATTTGTAGACCACAAAAACTGCGATATCTTGCGATACAGTCACTGAGTCAATCGTACAGTCAGCATAGCGACATTATTGCAATCATAAAGAGTTTGTTTTTTCTTGTATCTCCATTTAAGCAATATTTTATACACACATAAACTGAAAAATATGAAACTTAATATTCTTTCTTCGTTTGTCTCACTTATCGTTTTATATCGTCTAGGGAATTGGAGACTACTTGGGCTGTTATGGAATTCGAATACACTAAACATGACAGAACTGGAGTCAAATTGCCTAGAGCTAGTGAGGAGCTTGTAGAGACACTGGAAGACAACCAGGTGACCATGAAATGTAGTATTTAGTATATTATTGAGTTATGGCTTCTTAATTGTAGCTTATTTGCTTTTAAATATATCATCAAATGACTGTTCCCGCCGATGGTGAGGCGTGTCAGAATTTACTGTCTGAAAGCTCTGTGCTTAACCTATGGCGACCTCCTCAATTCCACAATAGGAATGGAAAGCATAGATTTTTCACCATACTAATATTAACAGTGTTTATTATTTACTTACCCTTTATCATCAATAAAGTTTTTGGAGAATAGAAATATAAAACATGATGCGTTTCCTTGTCTTATAGAATCAAGTACAAAACATGATGTCCTCCAAGTTTGTCGGTTTCTTCGAAATGGAGGTTACTGAATGGCAGAAGAAACTGGGCACTGCTGACGCTGTGATAGCTTTATGGTTCGAAGTACAACGTAAATGGCAGTACTTGGAGAGCATTTTCGTAGGTTCCGACGATATTCGATCACAATTACCTGAAGACTCGGCGAGGTTTGATACTATTGATAAAACGTTTAAGGTGAGTGTGTTTCCAATTTGTACATACGTAAGTATATATTTTTAGACTTGTCTTCTATATCAATGATAGATCATGAGATCATAGATCTGAGGCAGTGCAGTGACGCGTATCTGGCAAACGTATTTTGATTCGTCTCTATTCATCTAGCTCTAAACATACACTTGTCAATTAAGGGAGTTTTGTTTTGCATTTTTAGAAAAAAGAATGTTGTCATAATGGTTTTGTTGTAGGAAATGTTGAAAGATATAGCTACTACACCTAATGTAATAGAGGCAACGAACAAACCGAATCTGCAAGAAAATCTCGAGGAATTGATGGAGCACTTGAACAAGTGCGAGAAGGCACTAAACAATTATCTGGAACGAAGCGATTGGCTTATCCTCGCTTTTACTTCGTGTCATCTGCAGATTTGCTTGGTAAGTACGATCTAGCGTTGAATAAAAAGCCTTGTTAGAATACACATTTCATGAATTGTAGATCTTAATTTAAGAATTTACCTGATAATTATATATAACATTTATCTTGGTAATCAGATATCTTGTCGAACGGCAATAATCCCCCAGCGGTGTGTCGGCACTTGCCGAAGTTATACGACAATCTGGCGAAGCTTGTGTTCCCTAGCGCGACCAGCAAGCAAGCCATCGAGATAATATCCAAGGAGAACGAGGAACATGTGCCATTTAAAGCACCCTGCTGTGATTGTAGTGGAAAGGTACCTACTTATAACATTTTGGTTAGCATCTATTTAGAGAAGTCAATCAGTATTAGTTTATCTTTGCATTTGGCACTTATAGACCAAGGCAATTTTCGTAGCGACATCTAAAGTACAGCAAAGTCTAAAGAGTCACAACCTTTTAGGTGGAAACATGGCTTAACAGAGTAACTGACTGCATGCGTATGACTCTGCGTGACATTTTGGCGCACAGTGTGAAGTCGTATGAAGAGAAACCTCGAGACGAGTGGGTGTTCGACTGGCCCGCACAACCTGCGCTCGTCGGCACTCAGATCTGGTGGACCTCGGAGACTAACCAGGCTTTTGAGAAACTCGAAGAAGGTACATGGTGTTGCTTTCTTTCTGTATCTAATTTATAACAACTTTCAAATAGTTGCTTGAATTATTTCAGCAACGATGATATTCTATAACGAGAGATTGAAAAAAAATATTTTTAAAAGGAGATCATTTATTATTGAGCCTTTTCTAAAAGTACAACGAAAAAAATTGTACGTATCGTTAGTACGTATCTAGTCATTTGGAGCAATAATTAATATGGCATAAAAGTTGTAGGATTCAAGATAAAGAAGTTATACCAGGTGCTAAAATAGTTATGAGTTAGAACGAAAAGTTTTCGCAGTCGTCTTTTTTTGTTCAAAAACTTGAACTGAGTCCTCTCACCCTGGGGAAGTAGGGGGATGTCCTGACCGATACTGACTAAAAACCACCATTCCTACTCCTGCCCTTCGAGCCGGAACCCCGGCAACCCGTTAAGTCCTCCGTGGTGGTCTGATGACTCTTTGAAACGCGCGCGGAACGCGACGCGCCGTACGTTCGGATCTGGTTCTGGATGGGCGCCGACTAGAGCCGGACGCGAGAGGTCGCCGCCGTGCGAAAACTTTTCGCAGTCAACTTTTTTTTAACTTTTTTAAAAAACAATAAATGTATGAAAATGTTGAATCTTTAAACTGGTATAACATCTTCATGTTGGATCCTACAACTTTTACGCCATATAAACTATTGCTCCAAATAGCTAATTCTAACGATACATACAATTTCTTTTCATTGGCTCTTTCAGAAAAGGCTCTAAAATGTATAGTTAGAGCCGAAATGATCTCTTTTCTGCTCCTTCTTGAAATGAGACATTATGAAATTTTCAGGCTATGAGAATGCGCTAAAAGATTATCAAAAGAAACAAATTGCACAGCTAAATGCTTTGATTGTGTTGCTACTTGGTGACTTGACAGTGGGGGATCGACAAAAGATTATGACGATCTGTACGATTGACGTACACTCTCGAGATGTGGTCGCTAAACTTATTGTGGCGAAGGTGGAGTCGTCTAATGCCTTTCAGTGGCAGAGCCAGTTGAGGTACTTTAACTAATGCTTAAGTATATTAGGCTTTATAGTGCATTGATTGATGGTGATTGATTGACAATGATTGCACGAAATATTTATAAATCTAGTTGCGATAGGTATTAATAATAATGTGCGACTTATTTAGTTCGAGAAACTACACGTAAAATAATAAAATAATTGTCATAGTTTATTTAGGAAGTCATGCATTGTTAATATATGGTTTTTGAGTAACAATTTGTAACTGCAATCCTAAACACCGCTTCACATTTTAATGTCACCTATTTCAGACATCGTTGGGATTATTCCATTGGGCATTGCTTTGCGAATATTTGTGATGCACAGTTTATGTATGATTATGAGTACCTTGGGAACACGCCTAGGCTTGTAATCACGCCTCTAACTGATCGCTGCTACATCACTTTAACACAGGTAAAATAAAACAGTCTATCTATATAGTGTAACAATTTAATCCTTTATTTAATCGGATTTAAGAGTTGTTTAGACATTTTTAGGATTAGAACCTTTTATTTTATAATTTCATAATTATGCCTGTAGTGTCTAAGACCATTTTTTTATACCACAACGGTGACAAAAAAAAGCACACGGCTCACCGCATGGTAAGTGTTCATCGTGGCCTATAAACGCTTGCAATACGTGGGGCGCTACATGCGCCTTGCCGACTCTTAATAAACCTATTTACTCCTTGAAGAACCCCATATTGTAGCTCATCGGGAAATCCTCGGCGTCAGGAAATTCCTCTGAAACCGAACTGTACGGAACCATTTGGTCTCCAATGTGTCAATGGCGAGCGGTGCGATGATAGAAAGTGGCCTTGGGCATCATATCGAACAATTCAAGCGGTTGAACACGACAACGAAGCAAAATGTCTCCTTAGACTTAAGTGCCCGATACCGGTCCTAAGTATAGGGATCGTCAACAGGTATTATAGCTCTCGTTTGGACCGCGTCAAAAGGTCCAAGCTGGTATGCTGGCGGTCCCGCCCAGAGATGAGAGCTCCATATGGCGGTGAACTTGCGATTTATATAATAACAGTCTTTGCCCCGGACTGAAGTACCGCTTCGCTTTGTTTAGCACCCCAAATTTTTAGATGCCAATTTGGCCTGGTCTTCACTTGACTGCGGACTTGGACATCACTAGATATGTCGACACCAAGGATATCTATACTTTTGGAGATGGAAGGATTATGTTTTGGAATTGAAGAGCCACAAATAATGTTTTTTTTTTGCGGTGAATGCACAAACTTGTCTTCGAGGTGTTGAACTGGACCATGTGGTTCCGACCCCAATCGGAGACAAATTGTATGCAACTTTCTTCCACAACGGAACAAGGCATGTTTGCACGGCCCGTATAAAACGCGTCAGCGGTACTATCATCCGTATAGCAATGAATGCCATCAATCTCTGATATTATAGTACAGGAGAAAGAGCGTCGGAGAAAGTACAAAGTACCAGCATTTATGTCCATGCTTGCTCCATTTTGCTTTTGAATGTACTGACTGATAGCTGGCGTTAACTATAGTTTTTGTAAAACTTCAGTAATATTTTTCTCTGGTGTAGCTACTAATCTACCATAACCACTATTTTCTTTGATTCATAAATTAATTCCAAAAGAGGTTTCTATCAACGAATGTGGTTCAAAATGATTTTCAATTTCTTTTTGTTTATCATCATAGAGTTTGCATCTGGTAATGGGCAGCGCTCCTGCTGGGCCCGCGGGTACTGGGAAGACAGAAACCACGAAAGATTTGGGTAGAGCTCTGGGCATTATGGTCTATGTATTCAACTGCTCCGAACAAATGGATTACAAATCTTGTGGCAATATTTATAAAGGTTTTTATTAATTTAATGAATTGTGGTTAGATGTTAGCTATTGGCTGTTCATTTGCAATTTTATCCGTTTGAAAGTTTAATAGTTTGGTTTCTATAATTTTTAACGAAATAGATTAGTTACATAACTTTTTTCATATTTTCGTCTACTAAAGGTTTATGTCAAACTGGCGCATGGGGATGTTTCGATGAGTTCAATCGGATCTCAGTGGAGGTGCTCTCCGTGGTGTCGGTCCAAGTGAAGACAGTGTTGGATGCTATCAAAGCTAAGAAAAAGAAATTCGATTTCATGGGAGAACATATTACACTCATAGCCACTGTTGGTATGTTCATCACCATGAATCCCGGTTACGCGGGAAGAACTGAGCTACCCGAGAATTTGAAAGCACTGTTCAGGTAAGTAATAATTAAGAAATATATAGGATAAGATATATATTGATAAGATTATATGTTTAGACATTTTTGAATAATGGAGAATGAAATTTCTTAAAAAACGTTTTATTAAAATTATCTCGCAGACCATGTGCCATGGTGGTGCCCGACTTCGAGCTGATTTGTGAGATCATGTTGGTGGCCGAAGGGTTCCAGGATGCTCGTCTACTAGCACGCAAATTCATCACGTTATATACTCTGTGTCGTGAACTGCTCTCCAAACAAGATCACTACGATTGGGGTTTGAGGGCTATTAAATCAGTGTTGGTAGTGGCTGGCTCTTTAAAGGTATCATACATAATTTTTTATTTGTCATCTACAAATCTGATATTGAGAGAGATCGAAAGTTTTGGGAGAGACGATAACTAGAAGTAGTAAAAATAAGTCACGATGCGAGACCTCAGCTACAACGAATCTTTACCTAGGTATCCTAGCGCAAGTGTTTTCTTTCTGAAGAATTCTTTGATTTTATTTGACTAAAAATAAATTCAGAATGTTATACATTCAACATATGAAATGAATTGAATAAACTTTTTAGCGCGGTGACCGCCTAAGACCAGAAGACCAAGTGTTAATGAGAGCTCTGAGAGATTTCAACATCCCTAAAATCGTAACTGACGACATGCCTGTGTTTATGGGGCTGATTGGAGATCTGTTCCCCGCCCTCGACGTGCCCAGAAAACGTGACATGGATTTTGAGAAACATTTGATTGACGGTGCTATATCCATGAAGCTTCAACCGGAGCCAGGGTTTATTTTGAAGGTAAGATAAAATCAGCACCTTCCTTGTCATACTTGCGTTGATTAAAAATAAACTTATGTAGCTTGAGATGAGACAGATGCTGACTACGACTTCGTTACAGGATTAAGTATTACTAATTTCTATTTAAGATGGTGCAACTAGTAGAATTGTTCGCTGTAAGACACTCGGTCTTCATTGTTGGCTTTGCGGGAACTGGCAAGTCAATGGTCTGGCAGTGCCTGAATAGGACTTATTACATGTTGAAGCAAAAACCGTTTTACAATGATCTTGATCCTAAAGCCGTGACTAACGACGAACTCTTCGGCATCATTAACCCGGCCACTCGAGAGTGGAAAGATGGTTTGTTCTCCACCATCATGCGTGACATGGCTAATATGCCTGGAGATGGACCGAAGTGGATCGTTCTTGATGGAGACATTGATCCGATGTGGATTGAAAGCTTGAATACTCTGATGGATGACAACAAAGTAAGTAACAGATTTCTGTTTAAAATATAGTCAACATTATAAGTAAATTTATTTTGTGTTTTATTCTTTGTTGCTTTAGGTGTTAACGCTCGCCAGTAACGAACGAATTGCTTTGACAAAATCAATGCGGCTTTTGTTTGAAATTGCCACGTTGAGGACAGCTACACCAGCGACGGTATCACGAGCTGGTATTCTTTACATCAATCCCCAGGACTTAGGATGGAATCCGTAAGTGTCACGGTTGCTTTTGAAGATGTTATCTTTTAGTTTGTTAATATGTTGTTTAAGACTCATTTAAATATTATTTTGCCAATTTTGTATTGTACCTAAGTAAAAACGATCGTTCAACCTATGTATGTTCATCAGTTGCTCCAACCAAACACGAAAGATTATTTTATTTTATACTTAATTGAATTGGATAGTGTTAACATTTTAGAAAAAACTAATAGCAAACAAAAAGGCAAAAGTAAAAAGCAAATGCACTATTATTAGTACTGATAGGTTACCCACCCACTGATAGGTTAGAAGTCGGTGCCAAAAACTCATATCATAATGTTTTCGGCGGAGTACTGCGCAAACAAAAAAAAAAAAATCAGCCGAACATAGAACCTCCACCTTTTTTTGAAGTCGGTAAAAATATTTACATACGTGTTTTTACTACTTCTTTACTTTACTGGTATTACACTTAAACCGTAGATTTGTCGCATCTTGGATAGAAACAGCGAGAGATGATGAATCTGAGAAGGCGATGCTAACAGTGATGTTTGACAAATACATACCATCACTGCTGGAATCCTGCAAGAAGTACAAGAAAATTACACCGCTTACAGAGTTACAACAAATACAGCTCAGCTGTTATTTGCTTGAGTGTTTCTTGAATAAGACTTTACTACCCAGTGATTGTCCTAAGGAATGGTGAGGATGCTTGCCTTACTAAAACCTTTTAAATCAGTTTTAAAAAGTATATATAATAATGTTACCTAATATGGAGTTGTAGTTTTGTGTCAAGCTTTCGTTGTTATTTTAAGGTACGAAATTTACTTCGTCTTTGCCGTTGTTTGGGGCTTCGGTTCAGCCCTTTTCCAAGATCAAATAGTTGACTGGCGTAATGAATTCAGCAAATGGTTCTGTAATGAATTCAAGCAGATTAAGTTCCCTTCCACGGGCAACGTGTTCAGTTTCTTCATTGATCCAGACACTAAGAAGTTTTTACCATGGTCTGAAAAAGTCGAGAACTTCGAATTGGATCCCGATATTCCTCTACAGGTTCTAATCATATTTTTAAATGCAATACAAAAAGTTGATACTCAAAATACAATATCGGAAAAAATACTAATTCGTAAAAATGATTGATGTTTTAGTCGACGTTGGTAGCGACCAACGAGACGACTCGTACGAGGTTCTTTATGGACTGCTGATTCAGAAGCAGAAACCAGTGATGTTAGTGGGCAGCGCTGGTAGTGGCAAGTCTGTGAGCGTAGCGGCTAAGCTGGCCGCCCTGCCAGACTCGTATGCTATCATTAATGTGCCACTCAACTTCTACCACATCAGGTAAAGTTTAAAAGATCTCAAAGAAATACACATTAAACCAGCTATCATAGCAACTCACGTTATGGTTCGCTGTGTGACCGCACTTGTTGATTGCTTACCATCGTGTAAATCTGTCTGCCGTTTGGTCCTTTGTTGGGATTTTATACATTACTTTTATTTTAAGAAGAAATTGTTAAATCTTCTGAGAATACGATAGATATATTTACAGTAACCCTGTTTTAATAATAGATTACCGTTATAGAAATGATTCAGAGAGTATTAGAAAAACCTTTGGAAAAGAAGTCTGGTCGTAACTTTGGACCGCCTGGCAGCAAGTTTATGATATATTTCGTGGATGACATGAACATGCCCGAGGTAGACAAGTACGGGACTGTGCAGCCACACACGTTGATCCGACAATTCATGGATTACAAGCACTGGTAGATACAAATTGTATTAATTTAGTTTTTAGGCCACTATGGTCCACATACGTCAAAAACTAGCATTTTAAATTATATAGTTGACGTCAAATATAGTTAGTAACAAGAGGCTTAAAGGTTCGATTCAAAGTCTGTAGGAAAGAAGACCAATTTATGTTAAACAAAGTCTGCTTGCTTATTTTATTGAAGTTTTTAGGTATATTTTAAAAGAAAAGCAGTAAAATATTTTGTTAACCTTTTGAGTTTTAGAAATCCCTAGTTGTTATCAATTCTTTAATGACCGATAGTATTGGTTTAGAAGAAAATCTATAAATGTTTCAGGTACGACCGACAAAAGTTGACGCTGAAAGATATTTCAAACTGCATGTTTGTAGCGTGCATGAATCCTACAGCTGGCTCGTTCACTATTGACCCTAGATTACAGAGACACTTCTGCACTTTCGCTGTGAGGTAATTCAATTTTTAATTTGAGATTAATGTGAGCGGAATTGTTTTTTGAATTTTAATTTTGGTAGATAGTATGATAGTTAACTTTTTTTGTATCATTATAGGAGGAAAATAAAGATTGATTCAGTAATTGGTAGTTAACCATTGAGCTGAATAATGATAATAAAAGATATCATAAAAAAACGGATAATTTACTGTAATAATAGCTAGTCTCTGTACCTAATACATCTTATTTTCTTACCTATATGCCAAATAACTTGACTGGTTGCACTTCATCTTAATAGTTTTCCCGGGTTGGAAGCGTGCTTCCACATCTATAAGAGCATCTTGGTCCAGCATTTGATGAACCCTGCCAACAAGTACATCCCGGTGGTGTATCGATATACCGAGGTCTTAGTAGGAGTGGCTTTGGCTTTACATACCAAGCTTTCCACTACTTTCCTACCTACGGCCATCAAGTTCCACTACATCTTCAATCTGAGGGATCTGTCCAATATATTCCAGGTAGGAACTTATTTGTTTCTTGTTCACCTACCTACATACATGTCTATCTTTATAACCTACGAACATTGCTTATAACAATATTTGATAAGTTTTAAGAAAATGTTAACTATCACTATATTCTTATACCTACTTCCTTAATTGTGTAATATTCACTTTTATTTTAGGGCTTATTATTCGCAACTGGCGAAGCCATCAAGACACCTTCTGAACTTCTTAGATTGTGGATGCACGAGGCGACTCGAGTGTACTCAGATAAGCTGGTCGATGCCAGTGACAACGATACTTTTAATAAGCTTATGTTCGAGGTGATCAAGAAAAATTGTGAAGTAAGTTTAATATATATAAAAATATAGAATTAACTATCAAACCGACATTTTTATTTAAAAAACATCACTTTACATCAACAGCTTATAAACTAAAACCTTCTCCCAATTACCACGCTTGCTCAGTGCGGGTTGGCTATGTAAAACTTAATTAGAAATTATAAGCCCAGGTTTCCTCACGATGTTTTCCTCCACCGTTTGTCTGTGGTGTCTAAATAATTTTAGAAGGTAACTCGGATAAAGTCACATTTGTTTTTGCCGTTGGCAGGTTTTGAAACCGCACATCACCACCACGACTTTACAAAAACATCATGAAAACACCTATCTATAATTATATAAAAGCGAAATGTCACTCACTCATTGATTATACTTTTAACATTTGAACGCGTGTCTCAGGACTACGATGAAAATGTGATAATGGAGAAACCCTTGATCTTCTGCCACTTTGCGGAGGGTATAGGAGATCCTAAGTACTTCCCCATCAAGGACTGGAATCACATCAAGAAACTTTTGGATGAGTCACTCTCTGCTTATAACGATCTTGTGGCTACTATGAACTTAGTGCTCTTTGAAGATGCCATGTACCATATTTGCAGGTAATATCCGCAACATATTTATTTTTGTTTTTATTTATACCTTTAACTTATTTATAAATTACTCGTATAGGTGCTTAAATAATGTCAAATTCGATATCTAGACGCCCACTACTATCACCTTTAATAATGGACATCGACTGTAAAAAAATTGTACATATTGTTGTATCCGAATAATTGTCTCTTTATTAGAATCTTATTAGGAGTCACGTGAAGTGTATATGTATATATCCTTTAAGGATTAATCGTATCCTGGAAGCTCCACGTGGCAACGCCTTGTTGGTTGGCGTGGGCGGGTCGGGCAAACAGTCGCTCTCCCGACTGTCATCATTCATCTCCTCGCTAGAAGTATTCCAGATACAACTGCGTAAAGGATACAGCATGAATGACCTTAAAGTTGATTTAGGTGAGTTTTCAGTATCAATCAGCCATAAGACGTTCACTGCTGAACATAGGCCTCCACCAATGACTTCCAAATACACATACTTTCCAGTATGTGATACTGTAATAGGAAATGTGCTTAGACTAGTGACACGAACTGTTATACAATCTTAGACAAAACTCATCTTGTGTGCTATGCATTTTCGCGTATAAAAACCAATCTTTATCAAGTTTTATAATAATCTTTATATAGAGAAACATAAATTTTTCGCAAAGTTTCTCGCGAAAATCTACAATTTTACAAATAATACAAATAAATTAGACCAACGGATCACGACTATTCATGTTTTTTTTTTTCAGTTACCACAATCTAATCCAGTTTGTAAAAATATTGCAATAGGAGTATGATTAAGTTATTAAAATTTTAACACTTCTGTCTTTTTCACAGCTGGTCTGAACATGAAAGCTGGTTTGAAGGCGATCGGCAATGTTTTCCTGATGACCGACGGACAGGTCGCTGACGAGCGCTTCTTGGTGCTGATCAACGACTTGCTAGCTTCTGGAGAGATAGCAGAGTTGTTCCCAGATGAAGATGTTGAAAACATTATCAACGGAGTCAGAGGAGAGGTGAGGTTATGAAAGATGCCCCTTATTGTATTACTTCTTTGTTGAACAATACGTTTGTATTGTTCTTCACGGAGGTATAGTAATGGTAATCTGCTTCTGACTGAGGTATTGTGAGGTATGGTGGTTGTGCTATAGTAATGTATGTCGCTATATAATAGGTACTCATTTTGGTAATAATAATATATTTTTAATAGAGAATCAGCGAATAACTCATAATCTCGTAAAGTAAGGGTGCTAATTAAGGCAGCTTCTTTAAAATGTCATTCTCGTCTGCAAATATATTTAGTTGTCTAATGAATTAATAGGTCAGCGACAAACTTTTAGCGTCTAATAAATGGTTTATAAGCGACCATATATTGTTACAAGCTACTGTTAATATGACGCAACATTTAAACTAATATTTTTAATATAAACGGCTAAATGGTATGAAAAGATTTGAAAAGCAGTTAGTGATATAACGCTCGGCGGCCGCTACCGCGGCACCGCTCGCTACGCTCGCTCGCCTCGCGCCTTGTGAGGGTCGCAGTTCTAATCTAACCTAACCAAATGTTTCGGGGTGCCCAAAATTGCTGTGCAGTCAGTCAACATTAGTCGCTGAGTTATCAAATCAGAAGTAAATATATTTATCGGTAGCTCGGAGTCATATTAATTTACGCTCGTAAATTGACGCTGGTTTCTTGATATTTTGTTGGAATAGTAAAGATGATGAATTAATATAATTGAAGCTGTTCTATTAACTCGTCGCTCACATATAAAAAAAGACGCTAGGTTGCAGGTGCTAAAGAAAACTTTTGTTGCCGCACATATAATTTCCCGTAAAGTAATACTCGTAAAGTAAGTACTTTACTTTTAATGCTTTTGATAAAGAATAATAAAAAATGTTAATTGTAACATAACAGTTTGAATTCTTCTAATGTTATGCAACATGGGCGGCGACCGCGCCCTTCGCTAGTACTCAGATGATTTGCTTATAATCTATTCTGTTTATATGTCGCGGAGAACGTAAAAGATTACCGGGGCTCCGGCTCTAAGCGCCGTAGAGTAGAAACGGGGTGGTTTTTAGTCAGTAGGAGTCTGACACTCCCTCTCGCCTCACCGAGCCGGATAAGTCATTCTATGGTTTTCTCCCCTTAAAAAAATTCTGTATATTATATACTTATTGTTTGTGTACTGTACCTATATTTTTATTGTAGACTAAAGCAACTGGTGTGCCTGACACCCGTGAGAATTGTTGGGCTTTCTTCATTAACCGGGTTCGCACGTTGCTCAAGGTCAGTAGTCTCGCTCCTAAAGTTATACATGATATAATTATGACACACACTTTTAACATAACATTATATACCATTATTAGGTGATATTGTGTTTCTCTCCTGTGGGCGCTACGCTACGAGTGCGCGCGCGCAAGTTCCCTTCTCTTGTCAACTGTACTGCGATTGATTGGTTCCACGCTTGGCCGCAAGAAGCGCTGCGGTCCGTCTCCAAACGTTTCATAGCTGAAGTGGAATGTTTACCGGTACTATAAATATATACATTTCCAAACAGGCGTTTTTCGTTCTCCAGAAATGCTGTCTAAATATAGTCAGCAATGGATGATTTATCATCCTATTCTACATCTTAGAATTATGTTAAAATGTCCAGTGTTTTAAATGATACCTAAAGGTTTGCTCTTACAGGAACAATTAGTAGATCCTGTGTCGGGCTTTATGTCACACGTACATCAAAGCGTAAACGAAATGTCGGCAATATACTACCAGAACGAGAAGCGGTATAACTATACGACACCAAAGACCTTCTTGGAACAGATCGCTTTGTACAGCAAACTTCTTAATGAGAAGACTAAAAACCTTAAGATGATGATCATAAGACTGGAGAACGGGCTGGAGAAGTTAGCGTCGTGTGCTGGAGATGTCGCTGTGTTGAAGGTAACTTATTACTATCCAATAAAACACTTTCCTAGTAAAAAAATATTTATAACTCATTTTAGGATTTCATCAATATACGTTTTTAGGGCCAAGTTATGATTATATTACGGGTTCTCAGCAGCAGTGTTTCTTAAGTATTTCTCAAAAAAGGTTGTCTTCATTTTTATGAAATATTTGTGTCCCTGTGCAGGTGACTCTTGCTGAGCAAGAAATTATTCTAAAAGAGAAAAACAAAGCCGCCGAAGCCCTCATTGAAGTAGTCGGCGCTGAAAGTGAAAAGGTGTCCAAAGAAAAAGCATTTGGTAATGTATTTGAACTTCTGATTAAGACATAAGTAATTTGATATTTTTTTGGTAAAAACCATTTTATTAACACGTGCAAACCAAACTACCAAAATTATTTATTTTTGTCAGCTTCTGTCATTTTACATAACATAACATATCATCACGCCTTTTATCCTCAAAGGGGTAGGCAGAGATGCACATTATACCACTGTACAATGTAACACCCACTTTTCACTATTTATGTTATGAGTCCCATGTAATAGGGGGTGAGCCTATTGCCATATACCGGGCACAGTTCCAGACTTCGATTCCCGGGTCGGGCAAAGTATTACTGGGTTTTAAAAAAATTCTCAGTAGTAGCACGGAGTCATCTATCATCTATCATCTTCATCTATATATATAAAATTCAAAGGTGATTGACTGACTGACTGACTGACATAGTGATCTATCAACGCACAGCCCAAACCGCTGGACAGATTGGGCTAAAATTTGGCATACAGATAGATGTTATGACGTAGGCATCCGCTAAGAAAGGATTTTGATAATTTCCACCCCCAAGGGGGTAAAAAAGGGGATGAAAGTTTGTATGAAACTTTGTCAGTTTTTAACTGATCGGGTTGAAATTTGGCATGCAGGTAGATGTTATGACGTAAACATCCGCTGTGAAAGGATTTTGATAATTTCCACCCCCAAGGGGGTAAAATAGGGGATGAAAGTTTGTATGAGACTTTGTCAGTTTTAAACCGATCGGGTTGTAATTTGGCATGCAGATAGATGTTATGACATAAGCATCCGATGTGAAAGGATTTTGATAATTTCCACCCCCAATGGGGGTAAAATAGGGGATGAAAGTTTGTATGAGACTTTGTCAGTTTTAAACCGATCGGGTTGAAATTTGGCATGCAGATTGATGTTATGACGTAAGCATCCGCTTTGAAAGGATTTTGATAATTTCCACCCCCAAGGGGGTAAAATAGGGGATGAAAGTTTGTATGAGACATTGTCAGTTTTAAATCTATCGGGTTGAAATTTGGCATGCAGATAGATGTTATGACGTAGGCATCTGCTGTGAAAGGATTTTGATAATTTCCACCCCCAAGTGGGTGAAATAGGGGATGAAAGTTTATATGAGCCTTTGTCAGTTTTAAATCGATCGGATTGAAATTTGACATGCAGATAGATGTTATCACATAGGCATCCGCTAAGAAAGGATTTTGATAATTTCCACCCCTAAGGGGGTAAAATAGGGGATAAACGTTTGTATGAAGCTTTGTCAGTTTTACACCGATCGGGTTGAAATTCGGCGTGCAGATGGATATTATGACGTAAACGTCCCTTTACAAATGTTTTTGAACATTCTCACCCCAGAATGGGTAATATAGGGGGTGAAAGTTTGTATGATACTTTGCCACTTTTAAATTGATCGGGCTGAGACTTCGCATGCATAAAGTTACTATGACATAGGTATCTCTTTAGAAAGGATTTTGATAAATTCCACCCCTAAGGGGATAAAATAGGGAATGAGAGTTTGTATAAATCTTCTTAGCCGTTGAATTTAGAATCATAGAATCTTTTTGAATTACATTCGGTAAAACGATGATTTAGGACCTGGGTAACGTATGATAGTTTTTTCACAGATGTCTCACGAGAACGGTAACTATGCGTCAATGCCCCAGAACTCTCTAAATCTTAACCACTGAACTTATTCTAGAGAGATTCGGTACAACAATAGTCGATAGAATAGTTTTTATTACTCAAACCTTACGTGATCGGGCACTGTACTGGTAAGATCCCTGCGGGATCATTTATTTATTGAAACTACGATAAATCATGTCAAAATAGGTAAATCTTACTTGGGCACTGAATTGATTCTGGTTAATTCTGTCAGAAGTCATTAATCTACGCGGACGAAGTCGCGGGCAACAGCTAGTTTTACATAAGGTTAAAAATATTAAAGAAATTATCAGTGAAAAGGGATTAAATAGCTAAATCACGATATTTATAACAACTACAGCCGCGGAAGAGGAGAAGAAAGTAAAAGTTATAGAAGAAGATGTAACAATTAAGGCAAAGATTTGCGCGGATGACTTGGCAAAGGCTGAGCCGGCGCTGATCGCAGCCCAGGAAGCGTTGAATACACTGAATAAGAACAATCTAACGGAATTGAAATCTTTCGGATCACCGCCTGAAGCCGTCGTCAACGTGTGTGCCGCGGTACTCGTACTCTTTGCCAAGAAGGGCAAGTTACCGAAAGACAGATCTTGGAAGGGATGCAAAGTAAGTCTATTTCTTATGTTAACTAACTTCAGTTCAATAGAATTTAAGTTAAATCTTAATTTCATAGTACCTATTTAAGATATTTTAAACAATACCTAATTCACGTTTAAGGATATAGGTACTTGTGATGGTGCTTAATCATGAACATTTTTTCCAGTTAATGATGGCAAAAGTAGATCAGTTCTTGAATGATCTTGTGTACTACGATAAGGAGAACATTCATCCCGACGTGGTTAAGGTAGGACCTTTTCAGTTATGGTTTATAGTTTTATACTATACCTAAGTATTTTAATGCTAACTAAAAAGAATGCGCTTCTTTATAATCGCCCCTCAAAACATTATTATTTGATGTCTCAGGCAGTACAACCATACATAAAGAATCCAGAATTCAACCCAGGGTTCATAATGTCTAAGTCAGCGGCTGCGGCCGGTCTGTGCGCGTGGGTTATCAACATCGTTAAGTTCTACGAGGTGTACGTAGTGGTGGAGCCTAAAAGACGTGCCCTCAACGCTGCTAATGCTGAGCTGCAAGCGGCGAGAGACAAACTCGCCTTCCTTACTGATCAGATCGCTGTAAGTATCTTATTATAGTTAGAAAAGTACGTGAGTCTACTATCAAAGAAGGTATAAAGTTCATAATTTTCAACCTTTTAATAAAATACTATAGTTGAAATCTATTAAAATAAAATTGTCTATTTGGGTTTGCTAAATAGAGTCGTTTAGGTTTATTTCTATTATATAGATTTGATATAAGCAATGCTAAAAAAGTACAGAAGTCCTTGCAACCAATAAATGACTAAGATTTGTTTTATGACAGGAACTCGAAGAAAAACTGGAAGAACTGCTGAAAGCCTTTCAGGAGGCAGTGAACGAGAAAATGAAATGTCAGGCTGAAGCCGATGCTACTAATGCAACCATTGATCTAGCAAACAGATTAGTGAATGGTCTAGCTTCAGAGAAAATTAGGTTCGTAGATCATAAGCGTCAGTTTTAGTGAATATAATGTATTACAGAACTACAGAAAATGTCAGTCAGACTGCCTCGTTGGCCGAGTGATCGCAATTGCGACTGCTGGGTAAGGGGTCTCGGGTTCGATTCCCGGGTCGGGCAAAGTATTACTGGGTTTTAAAAAAATCCTATTACATGGGACTCATAACATAATAGTGAAAAGTGGGTGTTACATTGTACAGTGGTCTTGTCCTCTGTCTACCCCTTCGAGGATAAAAGGCGTTATGTTATGTTATGTAGAACTACAGAAAATGTCAGTTACTTTTAAAACTGATGACGATAATCCACTACTATTATTATTATCGAACCATTTTCGTTAGTAGTCAGCGCTTGTTGGACTTAAAAATAAAAGGAGTACCTAGTTCTAATTTCATTATTTATTTGATTTAGTAAAATTACCTTAGGTTTGAATTAAATGTACTAATTCCTGTATCACCCTTGCACACTATCCAGATGGTCAGCAACGGTAGTTGACTTGAAAGAGTCAGGCGTGATGCTACCAGGAGATGTACTACTGGTTACCGCCTTCATCTCCTACGTGGGCTGCTTCATGCGCCGCTACCGCATGCTACTCATCAACAACGACTGGATACCTACCCTTGCCAAGACCAACGTAAACTTTTACTTTGATTTTAGTTCTAGTTCTAGGCACATTATCTGAGAATGTTTCTGTTGACTACCCTTATAACAGAAATTGATCCTCACATGGCCCTGAAAAAGAAAGGACCGGGATGCGGGCTCAAATTTTATAATATGATTGATAATTTTAGAGGCTTACAGTATAATTTTAAAGAAAGAAATACAGTTACTATCTATCAATGGTTTATTTTGTTGCCTTAGCCCAAAATCGATACGACTGAGGGTTTGGATCCATTGTCGATGCTGACAGATGATGCGATGGTAGCTTCGTGGAACAACGAAGGCCTACCCACCGATACTATGAGTACGGAGAATGCAACTATACTCACTAACTCCGCGAGATGGCCGCTATTAATAGATCCGCAATTGTAAGTTATTTTCCACTATTGTAAAAAATATTTAGGAATATTTTTCTTTCTAAACTTATCCTTACGTTTGGGATTAGGATAATTTACCTACCGAAATCGTACTAGTTCTTTAGATAAAATTATTTACCGCGAATGTTTTTAAACCATACATCTAATGAAAAAGCAGGAAAACAAAATTTGGACTAAGTACATACATAAACATTCGTTTATTAAACGATATAATTACTAAACTGTGTTTTGCAGACAAGGTTTAAAATGGATAAAACAAAAATACGGAGAATCTTTGGTCGTTGTTCGACTGACACAGCGGAACTATCTGGACCGTATTGAGCGTGGTGTGAGTAATGGTGAAATCGTGATACTGGAGAATATTGGAGAGACTGTGGACGCTGTGCTTGACCCCTTGCTGGGCCGAGTACTTATACGCAAGGGGAAAGTGCTCAAAGTAGGTGGACACTAACTACTTGATATTATACACTACTAGCAAACTCGGCGAACTCCGTTTCGCCACCAGATGGCTTCGTTTTATGTAACATTTCGTTTAGTGATTAGTGAATTTTCTTTACAATAAACCTCACGAAGCCCGAGATCTTTCCAACGAATGCAAAACCGAGGAAATCGGTTCGTGCGTTCTGGAGTTATAGCGTCAGGAAAGAAAACCCGACTTATTTTTATATAGTAGACTAGCAAAGCCGGCGAACTCCGTTTTGCCACCAGATGGCTTCGTTTTATGTAACATTTCGTTTGGTGATTAAAAGATAAAGAAAAGGTTTTTCCCTGCTATAAACCTCACGGAGCCCGAGACCTTTCCAACGAATGCAAACCCGTTGAAATCGTTTGTGCGTTCTTGATAGCGTCAGGAAGAAAAACCCGACTTACTTTTATATAGTAGATATCTGATATAAACGAAAATTAAAAAAAAAAACATATTAAAATAATTAGCATTCTTCTAAGGAATCTTTCATTTCAGATTGGAGACAGGAGATAGATTACCACCCGAATTTCCGATTTATGATGCAAACTAAGCTAGCTAACCCACACTACCAGCCGGAGATGCAAGCGCAGTGTACGCTCATCAATTTCACCGTCACTAAAGATGGGTCAGTTACCACCGTACTCAGAATCATTTAATGGTCACTTAACTCAATTATAAAAAGTTGTTTTACTAACGAATAGTTAAAGTAATTTTTAAACGTCTATGATTACGGCAGTTACTAACTTTAGCTTCCATTAGTTCCGTTCTCTTAAATAAACCGACTATCATCAATATATTTGCTCTTCTCACGTCTTACATATTAGTCTAAATATCGTAAGGCGCATTTGAATGACTCATTTTTATGACCAATCCTCGGTCTCTCAAGGAGAATCCTTTCAAAACCTCTCCGAATCGTTGAATACGAGTTAAAAACATGGACAAAACTTTATAAGAACTGCAGAGGTCTCCATGCAGATTTCATTATCTCAATTGTTAATAATAGTATACGAATTCCATTTATAGGTTAGAAGAACAGCTTTTGGGTGAAGTAGTGAAAGCAGAACGTCCAGACCTAGAATCCTTACGATCAGGCCTAACGAAGCAACAGAATGACTTCAAAATTACTTTAAAAACTTTGGAAGACGATCTACTAAAACGTTTGTCCTCGGCTGGGCCTGACATACTCAGTGATTCAGCACTCGTAATTAATTTGGAAACAACCAAGAAGACTGCCGCGGATATTGAGATAAAAGTAGAGGAAGGCAAAAAAACGGCGGTACAGATTGATGACGCTAGAGAGAAGTATAGGTATTTGAAATTATCCTTTAGTTATATTTTAAGAGTGTCCTTATTTGTTTAATGTCAGTAATAAAGTAGTGACAGAGTGGTGCATTTGGTATTCCTATGTACCTGTACAATAACTTTATTTGGTGAGTCTAAGTTTTATAGTGTTTCTGGCATTTTGTGTTTGAGAAGACAAAAATTAGATACCTATTTTCCTTGGTAGGCGGGCTGCTGCAAGAGCTTCACTATTGTATTTCATCTTGAACGACTTGTACAAGATCGACCCGATGTACCAGTTCTCGCTGAAGGCATATAGCGTCGTGTTTAAAGACGCATTGGCTAAAGCTGAGCAAGCTCCGGAGCTGGAGCAGCGCGTGTTCAACTTGCTCGATAGCATCACATTCGCCGTCTTTGTTTACACCAGCCGAGGCCTCTTTGAAAGGGACAAGCTTGTCTTCCTTTTCCTTATTACTTTACAGGTATATTATTCCATAGTTTTTAGTATAAGAAGCGGTGTAAGACTGAAATAATCAATGTATACTAGTTAATACCTTTATTTTACCTATTAGATTCTGCAAGCTGAAGGTAGAGTAGACCCGCTAGAATTGGACTTCTTATTGAAGTTCGCAGTGGCACCGGACATATCGCCATACCCTTGGCTGAGTAACCAATGCTGGGGTGGTGTCATCGCGCTTTCCAAAATGGATGCATTCGAAAATCTTGACAAAGATATTGAGGGAGCTTCCAAAAGGTAATGGATAATCTTTTCAGAATTGGCATCTAAGTTACAGATTTACATATTATTGTGCAACTTTCAAGGTTTTTATTGCAAATAAATACATATTTTGATTGTTTTTGGAATATTTTTAGCCTCCCTTCTATGTTTCGTTTACCAAACGAGTATTATGCTAAACGAAACTATGCAGAATATTAAATATGCTAAACGTATATTCTGCCAAGTAATAATTATAAGTGCCACGTAATTTTTATGCTTTAAAAATATGCCTTATAGAAGACTACTAAGTCTCAAGTATGTTAGCCGCCAGTATAATACCAGGGCAAGGCCCTGCTTTGCACTTGCCGAACTGGTAAGAAACGCAGGCTGAAGACATTTACTCACATGATACCCAAGGTATAGTGTACAGTACGATACCAAGCTACTATTTTGAACTTTAAAAATGTCACTTGACTTGCGTGTGAATAAATGTTTGTCTGTCATTCGATTACTCGACGCATGTCGAGGTATATTACAGTAGAACTGTAAATTCTGTACTTTTTTTTGATAATGGGGGAAACCTTCAAAAGCCGCCTAGCTTTTTTGGGGATAAACAACTAGGGAGTGTGGGATTCTTACCTCACTAAAACCACCCCGATGGCCACCATCATCACCTATGGGGGGCACCGAGTCCTCTATAATAGACTTGCTCCGGAACCCCTACGGTGAAACGCCTGTGACGCACAAGGGAGATGTACATCGCCCTTAAGCCTCGCTATGTGCGTTTTACCCCTAGGAACGCGTGCGAAGCCGCTAGTGCCAAATAAAATTCGTGGTACCAAATTTGTCACGTTATAATGTAATCTTTATTACTTTTTGTCAATCAGATGGCAGAAATATACGGAAGGTGAAGCTCCTGAGAGAGACAAGTTACCGGGTGAATGGAAGAACAAGACAGCGTTGCAGCGCCTTTGTATAATGCGAGCTTTGCGACCTGACCGCATGTCTTACGCTTCTGGGTACTTTATTAATATATTTTAGTATTCATCTCATCATCATCATCATCAACAGGCGGAAGACGTCCACTGCTGGACAAAGGCCTCCCGCATCCACTCGCAACTCTGGCGATGTCGTCGGTCCACCTAGCGGGAGGCCTGCCCACGCTTCGTTTTCCGGTCCGTGGTCTCCACTCAAGGACTTTCCTGGCCCATCTGCCGTCAGTCCTTCGAGCGACGTGGCCTGCCCATTGCCACTTTAGTCTGCAGATTTTGCGAGCTATGTCGGTAACTCTTGTTCTTTGGCGAATTTCCATATTTCGGATTTTGTCGCGCAAAGAAACCCCGAGCATAGCTCTCTCCATCGCACGCTGAGTGACTTTGAGCTTCTCCAGAAGGCCAGAGGTCAGGGACCACGTCTCGGTATCATACGTCACCACCGGCAACACACACTGGTTGAACATCCTGGTCTTTAGGCACTGAGGGATTTTCGATAAGAAGATTTCGCGTAACTTCCCGAACGCTGCCCATCCAAGTTGGATTCTTCGGGCGATCTCTTTGTCGAAATTGGACCTACCTAGCTGTATAATCTGCCCTAAGTATGTATAATGGTCTACAACTTCGAGGATATCGTTCCCAACGATGACCGGTACAGGTGCAACATGGATGTTTGAGTATTCATCTGCTAAGTTTTATTTCCGTGAAATTAAAAAATCTAATTTGGCCATTTCTGACCGAACTCATTTAGACGTTAACTGTGTAAGACGTAATATTTTGCAGAGTTTTTAAAGGACTTTTTCACAATCTTTCTAGAGCATTTTGTGAAGAGAATCTGGGAACAAAATACGTTGAGGCGCGTACGCCATCTTTAGAAGTATCGTATCAAGAGAGTAATTCCACTACTGCGATGTTCTTTATTCTGTCGCCTGGTGTCGACCCGTTGAAGGTAATATAGTAATACTATCTAAAAAAATCATACATATAATTGTAAATACATATTAGTTGAAACTAGAATTAATTTTTAGCAACGGTCTCTTTTTTGTAGACAATATTTGAAATATTCATAATATAAACTATAACCTCTTACTTTAAGTGTTGGAAACCAAAAATGACGTTAAGTGTCATCTATCTTAACTTAGTGCTTACTTTAAATTTAAGAGAGGTTGGTCTAAACGGGCATTAAACACATTTACAGGATATAGAAAAGATGGGACGCAAAATTGGCATCTCGGCGGAAAAGAAGAATTTCCATATTGTGTCCTTAGGCCAAGGTCAAGAGGTAGTAGCAGAACAAGGTATGGGCGTTGCATCCGTCAATGGAGACTGGGTCATCTTGCAAAATATCCACTTGGTCAAGAATTGGTTGCCAGCTCTTGAGAAGAAAATGGAAGAGTGCTTTGAAAATCCTCTGCCGGGTTACAGGTAGGATACATGATAATCTCTAGGTTCCATTACTTATGTCAAATTCAAGTTTAATTAATAAAATACTAACTCTATCATGTGCCTTTAGCCAAACGCCACTTTGACGCTTGTCTACAGAGAGAGTAGAAAACTAAATGATGTATGGAGATGACACTGTAAAGTGTCAAAATTTACGTCTATTCCATACACAGAAATATTAATTTAATATATCTGGGATTCCATATAATTTTGTTTTCTATTCTACATGTAGACAAGCGCTAAATGGCATAAATTTGGCTACAGCTGCAGGTACATAAGTTGTCGCTTTTCATTAAAGGTTGTTCCTAAGCGCTGAGCCAGCCGGCGATCCCAAGTACCACATTATACCTCAAGGAATCTTGGAGTCTTCGATCAAAATCACCAATGAACCACCTATCGGCATGTGGGCGAATTTGCATAAGGTACATTATTCAAATTTGTGCTCACATCCTTCTACGCGTGAGATGAGGCTTTGAGGCCAGCTATCAGATAGTTATAAGCTGATATTATGTTTAACCGACTTCAAAAAAGAGTATGTATGTATGTATGTTTGGGCGCGATTTTCTCGCGATTAGCTGAACCGATTTTGATATGGTTTTCAGAAAAGTATTTGCTACACTTAGTATATTAACTCACTGACTTCAAAAATGAGGGGATTGAAATCGGTTTTTAAAAGTAGTTTATGGAAGATATATTGTAGTACCTATTAAGATAATGTTTCGTAGGCTCTAGATTGCTTCAGCCAGGAAACGCTGGAAATGTGCAGCAAAGAAGCGGAGTTTAAATCAGTGTTGTTCGCTCTATGTTACTTCCATGCCGTCGTGGCTGAGAGACGTAAGTTCGGCCCTCAAGGATGGAACAGGTAATATTCTGTATTCAGTTCTACAATATTGTCTTTTTCGTATAAATTCATGTTTCATATAAAAGCAAATAAGTTGGCTAATAATTTTAATTGTTTTATTTAGCTAGATCCATTGGTTTGGGTAAAATTTAGTAATTGGAATTCGACCCCCTTTTTGACGAAAGATCGATATGGGATTTTTGGTACATACTCTTAATCTGGATGACCAAACAATATTATAATTATTTTTTCCTCGAATGTCTCCATTATGGATATCAAACGAAAGGGGATGAATTCATAGTCTCCTAATTAAATTAAAACCAAAGTCTTGCTTAAAATTCATAAAATTGTAATAGGGTAGATACCTAATTTTTATTTTAATGTCCGTCTGGTAGATTATTTTAAATCATTAGACACGTATTTTTTTATTTTCTAACAGAAACGAATACTTTCGACCATATATAGTTTTAAAATGTCGCGTGACGTCACTTCTATGTACATTTTATATGTAGAAATGACGTTTTAGCCCCCAATCCTAAATTTTGATTCGTTTTATCTAAGTGTTGCTTTATTATACGACAAAATAAATAAATACGTGTCTAATATTTTTTCATTATCTAACTTACGGACTAATTAGATTTTTATTTTTCATACCCTGTCATCATCCCAATTGTCTCATTAGGGTATACCCATTCAACTTTGGAGATTTGACAATTTGTGTGTACGTGCTGTTCAACTACTTGGAAGCGAATCCTCGAGTGCCGTGGGAGGACTTACGGTATCTCTTCGGAGAGATCATGTATGGTGGACACATTACTGACGATTGGGATAGACGGCTTTGTCGTACCTTCTTACTTGAATACATGCAGGCAGAATTGGTGAGTCCGTTACAAACAATCCTGTAAGTAGTTCTAATGTTTACATGAATTCGATTTGTTAATATTTTCTCAAAAACAAAAGACAAGCAAAAGAACCAAATACCGACCGGTGATCGGTGCCGCATACAAAATCCTACAAAAGATGAAAAAAAAAATTCAAAACTGTATAATAATAAATGCTTTTCCGAAAGATTATTAGATAACTATGAGTTTAATACTTACATTATTTTGTCCTTTTACGGCTCTTTTGTACTATATTTCGAATTAAACTTTAATTTAGGCTTAGAAAGAAATAAAAGTCACCGTATACCGACCGGCTGATGACGAACGTTCGTGATACCGACTGCCGAGGAACCTGACTCTGACCGGCCCAAACTGGCATTGTAAAAAACAACTCTATTTTTTAGCAGTAGAGTCGAAATTCGTAAAAATACCTCTTTTAAAAAACTATTCAAGTATGTTTTGTGGATTCGGCACTGAAATTGCGAAAATTAAGGTTTATTATAACATTACGCTTTTTAATCTTCGAAGGGGTAGGCAGAAAGTATACAATGTAACGCCTACTTTTTAACCTACCATGTAGACATGTCAATGTTTTTACTAAGTACACCAAAATCTATATCCCCTAAGATAGATGACAACAGGGACAGGCAAACCAGTCGTATCCACACTTCGACTAAACTTTCCCTTTATAAAACATCTAAAACTACCTACTATACTTATACTACCTACTACAAAATTTTAGTCCAGAAAATTTTTGTGAATGATTTGGAAATAAACCGAAAATATGGTCAAGTTTACACGTAAATTACAAAGAATCTATTATAGTTAGCATAGGTGGGATACCGATCTATTATGTAAGGGTAGTTTTAAGAATAAGAAGTAATTACAAAACAATCACAAAACAACACGCATTACAGAAAATTAGTATCATTCATACATCTAAAAATTCCAAATAGTCGGTATTCGGTGCGTCGTCATTTTGTACGGCTCCTCATTCCGCCTGTCATTAATTTATCGATAATTCTGTGAAAACATGGAATTTCTGCATGCATAATGAAATTTAACACATCAATAAACTAATTTGATTATATTCTATTTATTTATTATTATTTTATCTAATACTAATTTGATTATATAGTAAAATGAGTCATTCGTATTAATGTATTTCATTTAATAATACTTTTGCGCGCTGTGTTCCTCGGCAAAACATGCTGTACACAAACATTTTATTCAACATCTACGTACCATGTTTTGTGCAAATAAATGATTTGATTTGAATAATAAATGGCATAAAGTAAATACGTTCCTAATTCACCCTAAAAATCAAGATGTTTTAATTCAACGAATTTTGTTTATTTCGGAATCATACGTATTTACGCAACTTGCACTCTTTTTAGATTTTGTGGTATTGTCGGAATGTTCGTTAACGATTAAAATCCAATTTTTGAAGATGTATGATGAATGACTAAATTAAATGAGTCGTGATTCAAGACTTTCGATAAATAAACGATTGAGCGCAAAAAAACTAAAATGATCGGATCGAGGAGGCCGGTCGGTAACCGGTGCTTTTGCGATTATAGATACAATTTAAAATAATACGTTTTAAAATAACACTTAAAATAATAAGTATTTTTTCAGGTTGATGGTGAACTGCAACTAGCTCCTGGCTTCATATCACCATCTAATACTGACTACGTTGGTATCATGCCTACATTGACGACTATCTACCAGATGAAACTCCTTATTTGTATGGGTTGCATCCTAATGCGGAAATAGGATACTTGACTACTGTCTCCGAAAGACTATTCAAGGTAACCAATTATTTCCTTAATTCTTCTAGGCTTTATACATACACACCATAACATTATTAATACATCATTTTTGTGTAAAGGCATCATCATATAAGGAAAAGGAATCATCATCATTTAAAGATAATTGTCACCAATTGTATTTTGAATGGGATTTTGAATTCATCATCATCAACAGCCTATAAATGCCCACCGCTAAGCAAAGCCTCGAATCTCAATCTTCTCACACGGAGAAGGTTCGAGCATTAATCACCACGCTTGCTTAATGTGAGTTGGCGATTACAAACTTATAATTAATTAATTTCTAAGCCCACGTTTCCTCAATGTTTTCCTTCTCTGTTTGTCAGTGGTGTTTAGAAAGTACATAAAACTCGGATAAAGTCGCATTGGTACTTCCCTCATCCCCCATGCATGAGAAGCAGGCGTCTTAAACCTCCGAGCCACCACGACATGTATTGTGGTTTTGAATTAACTTATTTAAATCCCTGAATGAATCTTTATAATTTAGTAAAAATCACCTCAATCACAATTTCCTGAAGTTTATAACTCGAGTGTTACTTTCTAAAGGTGGTGTTTGAAATGCAACCGAGAGATACTGGCGCTCAGGCTGGTGGTGGCATGAGTAAAGATGAACAGGTAACATATTCAACATAAATCCGTAGACGTATCACATTCGCGGAGAACCTAACGGGTTACCGGAGCTCCGGCTCGAAGTGCAGAAGAAGGAACGGATTGGGTTTTAGTCAGTTAGAGTCTGACACTCTCTCCTGCCTCACCCAGGGAGCAGTCACCGTGATTTCCCACCCTTAAAATAAAGACGTATCACATGATAGTTACAGGTAAACTCGTTGATATAACACAAATTAAGTAACTTTAAAAAATCGACGGTGTTCAAAACGTACCCATTCTAGTTGTGATTTAAGGGCTCGTACACAAAACTGCGATGTGACGTCACATCGCAAAAATGTGCGAGCTCCCTCTACGTTTCGCGTTGAGGATTTGGAATTGATTCGAATCGCGCATCAAAATCTTATTTACCTAAAATCTTCTTTCTTTATTTTTCCTGTATCTTCTAAGCAATAACAGAAGTGCACACTTCTTTTTAGGATTCATGTTACGACTTAGTTTTCAATTTAAAATTCATTTAGTACGGTTGACGGTCGTCGAAGGAATAGTCGTCCTGGTAGTACGAGAGATGACGACCAAAACCATGTCTCATACCAATACGGCAAAAACCCTATAAAATCGTTAGATTGTATGATTCTGAACCCGACTAGGTGTGTAGTAACGGTCGAAAGTGTAGCAACTGCGTGGGAGGCCATTTCTGCTGTGTTAAAAATATCTGAGTATCGAAAATTTGTCTGATAGAGAAGGTGCTACACTTATTTTGTCTGATATAAATTTTTTGCACATGTGGACAACTTATTTTATCATGTCCAACAATTTTCAGACATATTGCCATGATACCGATCGGTAAAGTTAACATTTTCAAAACGGTCGCAATATTTAATGCGTTCACATTTCCGTCAGAAAATTGTTTTGTTCGCATCAAATAACCAAAATTTACTAATAAAAAAGGTTTTCAGACGTTTTGCTATGAGAATTTTTTTTTGTCTGGTGTTTTTGTGGTCAGATCAAACGCTACGTGGAAAATGTCTGATATTGGTATTTTCGAGTTCAGGATAATCGTATCTATTGATTTGAGGCAGTTTTGGCCGTATTGCTATGAGACAAAAATGTTGGTCGTCATCTCTCGTACTATGGCATCGTCTTCGAATTCGCATCGCATCGCATCGCAGTTTTGTGTACGAGCCCTAAAGGAAGAAGGTCCACAGTCATATCATACAACTCTATAATTCCATTGTATGTTAACGAAGCTGAAATATGTATTCAAAAATAATTCGAGCATTGTCCTTTCATGATATTGATTATTTAAATTGTATGCAGATTCGAATGTTGCTGGAGGACATCATGGACAGAATCCCTGAGCCATTCAACCTGGCTGAACTGATGGGAAAAGTGGAAGAATTGACTCCTTTCACTATAGTAGCAATTCAAGAATGTGAGCGAATGAACAGACTTATGGGAGAAATTCGGAGGTCATTGAAGGAGACTGAATTAGGTCTTAAGGTAGGAAACAAATGAACGATGACAAAAATAATCAGTAAATAGGCATACTGGTACCAACTACGCACATTTCATATTTTTTACATAACTTTTATTACTAATATTAGTCTCTTTTCAAATTATAATATAAATACATAGCCTGTTTCTTTCAAAACTTACGATAACAGGGAGAGTTGACTATAAGTGGTGATATGGAGGCACTGATGGAGTCTCTGTTTATGGACAATGTGCCTGAATCATGGAGTAAACTGGCATACCCTAGCCTGTTGGGGCTGGCTGCTTGGTTCTCTGACCTGTGCATTCGATTGACTGAGCTTGAAAACTGGACTGGTGATTTTACCGTACGTCATTGTACTTAATTTCCTTCCTTTATCTAATAACTGCTCGTAATAAAGTAATGGTGATGAATGAGATGAATCTTGATATTAGAAAATGTCAACCTTATTAACTCTTTCATCATACATAGTTTTCAAAATAAGATACAACATAGGAGAGAGGCAAGAATGATGGTATTCTGGCTGATGATAATATAATACTATGTATTGTTGAATTGTTGTATGTTTGTATGTTTTACAACTTAAATTGGGTAGTTTGCTGGGTCAAAAATAAATTATTTTGATTTTTCAATCCAATTAAATATTGAAAAATGTTATACTTTCATTCATTGATTAGCCGATATACTTAATTTTCGATTATTCAAGTATTTTTTTAGATATAAGTGTGCTATTTGACGCGAAAAAATGATGACGTCATAGGATGGTATTTTGGACAAAATTCATAGAACAGTATTGTTTTTGACGTTTGGATAAAAGTATTGAATTTGACTAGTTGTCAACTACCGTATTGTTTATTCCAGCTGCCACCAGCAGTGTGGCTAGCAGGTTTCTTCAACCCTCAGTCTTTCCTGACTGCCATCATGCAACAGACGGCCCGTAAGAACGAGTGGCCTCTAGATAAAATGTGCTTGAATTGTGACGTCACCAAGAAGAGTCGGCAGGACTTCAAGTAAGTATTCTCAGAGAAATATCAACCTTTGTAAAAGCAAGATTATTGATTACTAACTGTTCCGTGCGACTTCGTCCGTACAATATGAATTTAAGGACATAACGTTTTTTTATTTCAATTTTCCAAAATAAAAGTAGCCTGGAGTTGTTATTCCTTAATAGATCGGCTACCTGCCAATAAAAGTCTCGTCAAAATCGGTCTAGTCATTCTAGAGATTAGCCAGTATAAAAAGACAGACAGATTTTTTTGCTGCATATGCACGTAAAAAACGGTTATTTTAATATTACAAACAGACACTCCAATTTAGCCAAAAGTTTCTAAGTAATGGTAGTTTTAATCACTGACAATATTATATTAGACTATTGTCCTAGAATTATGTTATTCACATAATATAACATAACATCACGCCTTTTACCCCCGAAGGGGTAGGCAGAGGTGCACATTATGCCACTGTACAAGGTAACACCCACTTTTCACTATTTATGTTATGAGTTCCATGTAATATGGGGTGAGCCTATTGCCATATACCGGGCACAATTCCAGGATCCGTGCTACTACTGAGATTTTTTTTAAAAACCTAGCAATACTTTGCCCGACCCGGGAATCTAACCCGAGACCCCTTGCCCGGCAGTCGCACTTGCGACCACTCGGCCAACGAGGCAGTCAATTATGTTATTCATAAGATGAATATCTAAAACAATCACTGAATTTACAATCAATCTATGTGACAGTGCTCCACCTCGCGAAGGCGCCAACATACACGGACTGTTCATGGAAGGCGCGCGCTGGGACACTATGACCGGCGGTATAGTCGAGTCCCGTATGATGGAGCTGTTCCCCATGATGCCAGTCATCTTTATCCGCGCCGTTACACAGGATAAACAGGATACACGTAACGTCTATGAGTGTCCAGTCTACAAGATTCGGTAAGTTGAAAATATAGTCAGTCAATTTTTTATTGCTGAGACTTATAATCATCCTCTAAAACTACACTAGCGCCAATGAGTACAAATAAAAGCAGAAACACTTTATATTGAATACTACGTCATTTCTCCTACAGTATGCGAGGTCCAACTTTCGTTTGGACCTTCAATCTGAAGACCAGGGACAAACCAACTCGCTGGACCCTCGCCGGAGTAGCATTATTGCTTGGAGTCTAAATGTTAATTATTTATACTTATTATTATTTTGTTATAGCGAAGAGCTATATTTTCAGTGTTGTGCATGTCATAATTATGTTTGTGTGAACTGTCTTTATAAAACATTTTCCTCATTTAGATTAATAAATATTTATTATTTCGATTGAATTTTATTGTCATCCCTTCATCATCTTAGTATAGATTTAAACTTGAAAGTTTTAAAATACCCTAAATCTCCCCGTGGTCCATCATATCCACATCAAAATAAACAAAGTTTTTCACAAAATCAATTATATTTGTCACTAATTATAATTAAATACGATTTGAGTATCATGACAAAATATTTTGTGCAGAAAACAATCAGCGTTTTAATGATATATTTTCTTATTTATATGTGCATTACAACGCTTTAACAGGAAGACTACACAACATTGACTTAGTTTTTATAGATACTCTGCCAGATACATACATACTTCATCTCTTATTAAACTCTCTTGTTAAGAATTATAAAAAATAAATAATTATTCCTTTTATCTGTCGAAATGGACGGCTTTGTTTAGTCTAATCACTATTTTGTAGGTGCAACGCATTACAGGTCTATCGACGCAATATTTAGCTGTCACTACATACTTTTTCGATATTGGCAGTGATTAGTACAGATTTGTCGTCAAAATATGTAAACTATTATCACAATCATCCTGTCCTTACACTCTTGGTGTTTAAAGTCGCACTTGGAGAAGAGTTATCGTTGTCAGACGTTGGTTCAGAGCCCTTCACTGTAAACGTGACGTAATATCGTTTATTCTTATCAAGTTTCTCAGCTGGTAATGCTATCAACTGCTTTTCAGTCCCATGGGACACTTCTAGCGTGACGTGCGCCTTTGCAGTACCTGATGGGGGCTTAGAATTTATTTTCGGAAGAAAGCCTTTCGACTTTGAACTGCCTCCAGCTGTTGCGGGCTTCGGCATTGTGTGATGATTCCACTTGTAGGGAACTAAAATGAAAACAAAATGATAAGTCAGTAACGATTTATTGCGTTACTTAATTTTGGTGACGATACTTACTATACGCCGAACACGGTATGCCAGTATAAGCATGCACTGCGTGGTAACATCTATGGGTCTTGCTCGTACAAAGACATGGGTTGTCAGGAATAGCACTCATTTTATATAGTTCACTTTCTCCATAGTCAAAATCAATTGGTTTCTCTGGTAATTTATCCAAATGTTTCTTTCCGCTCTTTTGTAGTTTCCTTAAACTTTCATAAAGAAATTTCTCGAAACTGCTAAACGAATAGTCTGGAGTATTGTATGGGCCTAGACCTACGTTAGCTAGGCTTGATTTATTATATTCGTCGATAGCTCTCTTGACTAAGACCGCTTCATTTGCTTTGCTGGTTCTGATTTGAAGTCGTTTCAACTCTAACAAATGTTGAAAAAGTTTTCTTTCGCAATAATACCTGTAAACGTAGAGTAGGTAATTCAATAAAAGAATGTAAATAAAATTATTGTAATCATGCATCGGAATAGTTCAATGAAGTACCACACAGAATTGTCCAAAAATGACTTCTGTTGGACAATTTCAACTTACCGTCTCATATTTGTCTGGATTCTCTGAGTAACAGACTTCATATCGACAGCATTTTTGTCTCCTGGTTTTCGAACTGGGATCCGACTGTCAGACTTTCCTGAATATCTTCCACTGGCATTTCTTTGTTTGTAATAAGCTGCGAGACGAGGACTTGTAATTCGACGCTGAATAGCTCTGGGGCTTGGTTCAAAACCAGAATCCATTAAACCACTAGATTCATACCCTCTCTCAGAATTTTCACTTTTGGATCTAATAGTTGTACGACTTTTCGTTCTTCCTTTTTTGCGAAAACGTTTTCTTCGGCCGTTTGCCTCACTATGACTGTACAATTCGTTATCGCTGACACTTGGTACTCGACCTATGTAACCATCTTTTGAAATGCTTCCCCCTTCAAATAATTCTCCATCTTCCAAGGAAGGTTCATCTAGTTTTGATGCTGTTTTTTTGAGAATACCAGGTGTAGCATCTGGAGCACTAGCAATATCCGATAGTACTTTATAACTCTCTGTTTCATATATACTACTTTTTCGACTGCTGCCTTGGCTTTCTTTGGAAGTTTTTCGTATCCTTGTTGGTGTTGTCGGATGCAAAGACAAGTCTACATCATATTCTTCTGATAAGTTTTCTAAGATAACTTGCTGAACTGCACGGTCACTTGTAGGAATGTTATCATCCAGTATAGACACTAAACCTTTATCATTATTTGGAGCATTCTCAGTACTGCTACCTGTAGTAGAATTTTGAAATTCTTTTCTTTTTCTTCTGAACTTACCACGTTACTGTCACTACTATCCTTTTGTAAAATGCTATCTTGAATTTGTTTATCGGTTTCAGGATCTAAGCTATGGTCAACGGATTCTCCCATTAAATGGTCAGTTTTAACTTTAGATTCTTTATTATCTATTATTATATCTTTATTGGAAAATGAAACAGCTGGAGAACTAGTTTTTTCTTGAGTTTCAGTTTGTTCTATACTGGGAGCATCATAGCTAGTTTTTAACTCTCCCGATGCGTTTTGACTTGGTGATCCAATTTCATCTGGGCCGGATAAAACCTGAAATGACTTTCTTCTCGTTAATTCTGAAGGAGTTGGAGATTGTTTAAGTTCGTTGTCTGAGACTTGGCTAGGGTCTTTACTAATCTGTTGAGGTGATTCAAATTTTCAGAACTTTCTTTTTGTTTCGCATCAGATTTGACGACTTGATCTTCTTCAATTTGTGATTTACTAACCTGACTTTTATCTGGTTCACTTGAAGTTTTGTTTTGGTCATCTTTCTCTTCCGTTGATGTCTTTACTTGGGCTTGATTATTTTCGGTTAGTGAATCTTGTTTGTCAGTTGCTGAAATATCAGTTTGTGATGAATCTTTTTGGGTTTCATTACTTGGAACGTCAGTTAAATCTGCTTTGGGGACTTCTTTATCGTCGTCTTGGGTCTCTAATTTACCACTTTCGGGCTTAATTTCTTCCGTTAATTCTTTGTGTGTCACTGATAAATTTGTAGATTCAATTGATACGTTATTTGAAGAATCAACCGTTACATTTAATTCGGAATTTCCTAGTTGACTAGACTGCCGTTCCATATGGATTTGGGCTTCAGTGATTATCATATTTGTTTTAACTGATAAAGTATCGGTTTCAGTTTCACTATGACCTGCCTTGACTATTTTCCTCTCGTCCTTTTCAGTTTCCGATTTGATACCTTCAGTTTTATTTTCTGAATCTGTGATTAAATTATCGTTTTTTCCTTACCCTGTAAACTATCAGTGGTTTTATATTTTACTATATTCACACTTTGTTTTTCGTCATCATTTTCTATATGAATTGACGTTTTTTTTCCTTTGCGTTTAGTACTGCGTCTTTCACTAGATTCTGAGCTACTGCTTTCTGAGAATGAACTTGATTTTTTTTTACTTCGTCTTCGTCGTCTGCTTCTCCTCTTCTCCGAATAACTTTCAGAGTCTGAAGAACTGTCAGAACGAGACCTATAACGATGATGATGGTGTTTTGCACTACGCTTATGACGCCTTGATGGTTCACTTTTTGATCTGTTTTTCTTCGAACTTTTATGATTACGATCATGGGAAGTTTCCTTTTCAAAAGCTTCAAATTCACTGTCATATCCGTCACTAAAACTCTTTTGTGTATGCATGAGTCTTTTTCGACGTTCTTTGTGATTATTGTTTTTATGTTTATGAGATTCTGCTTTTTTCTTTGTTCTTCTTCTATTATCTTCTGAGGATTCATTAGAATCGCTACTGTCTTTATCTTGGATCTTTCGCCTCTCTTGAATGGGACTAGACAGTTCAACTACCTCTCTCTTTTCTATTCTGATCCTATCATGTACGTCTATTTTTGTACTTGTGACTCTTCGAGTGGGTAATGCAGTAATTGGAGCTCCGTCTATGATAATATCCGTATTAGCTAATTTAGAAGCAGGTATTCCACCATGCATCTGAAGATATTTGGCCGTAGATCGATGACCACGACTGGTTGCGCAATCTAAGGGAGTAAGAGGCTCATTTTTTGATGATCTTGCTATCAGATTGACTTCAGCACCGCGATCTAATAATAAGCGGCACAGGTCGGCATTATCCGTCGCAGCTGCTATATGTAATGGTGTTCGACCTTCATGATTAGTAGCATTTACTTGGGATGGACGGCCGTCTAAAAGCCATTTCACTAGTTCTCGTCTTCCAGATGCAACTGCTTCGTGTAAAGGGAGGTCACCTTTAGAGTTTCTAAGCCATAAGTTAGCACCTCTGGCACCTGAAAATTGCCAAAAACAAATTTGAGACAAGTTTATTTAAAATAACCCTCATTTTATATTATTATTGACGTATACTGACCAAGTATCCGCACTGTTTCTATTTGTCCTTTAGCTGCTGCTGTATGAGCAGGGCTTCGACCCCTTCTGTCTTGTCGATGTGAATCGGCGCCATGTTGTAACAGAGCTGATGTTGCATCGGCATGACCTAATGCAGCTGCAATGTAATGGAGTACAACCATGCGAATCTGCTACGTCCACACGTGCTCCACATAGACCTACTAACGTTTCTAACGCTTCAGTATGTCCTCTGGCAGCAGCACAGTGTAGAGCGGTCAACCCATCTCTGGAAGTAGCATTATAATGTTACAAATATCATTTCATTTTTTCATTTCATTTATTCATTAAACAATTTACATTGTATCTGAATGTCTTCATAGTCATAAATTACATTGCAATATAAAAGAATAATTAAAATAATAATAAAACGAGAAATAATCTAATATAACATGACAAAAATCCAATTAATCAAGATAAGCATGGATCAATCATAAATTATTCCGCAATTAAATTAAAATTCCAAAATATTAAAATGCGTTTATTTATCTCTGTACCTTTGGTCGTCTAGTTGACTCTTTTATCATTTGAAACTACTAGTATGTTTACTTAATTATTTCTATGAGTATAATGGACGAGAATCATTTGGTACCTGTCGGCATCGTCGACTTTAGCTCCGGCCTGGTGTAATGCCAACACTGCAGCCGCTGACCCTGCTGATGCTGCCCACAGGAGTGGGGTCCGGCCGTCAGCATCTCTCACGTCTACACTTGCCCCACCCTCTTTTACCAGTGCTCGTAAAACTTCCAGAGCTGCTCCTCTGCTCTGTAGGTAGATCACATGGAAATGATTATGCTTTATCTACTATCTATAAGGTATTACCTATTAAATACCTTATTTTAATTCTTATTCTGATATAAAAGTTACAAATACTTGATGATCTGTAGCAGCTGGAGCACCACACATTTGTGCGGCATAGTGCAAAGGATATCCGCCATGTTGGTCTGGCGTGGCTGCGTCTGCGCCGGATGCTAACACCGCTCGTAGTGCCCCAACTTCACCACACACTGTGAATTATGCCATACAAGGCTTTTGATTTCTGCATTATGTGGGTATATCTAAACATATAAAATATAGATACCTATCTAATATAGTTACACACGTGATATAACACGCAGTATAAATGAATTATAAATACATAACAGATTAATGAACAATAACAATTTATCAGAACGCGGTATCGGACGTCTCGCGGCGGCCTTACACGTCAACTTGACCTGCATAAAACATTAACGCGTCAGTCAGCAAGGCTCGACCTTTCAGCGAACAAAATTGTTTGAAAAACGTAATCCTAGATACATCGGACTGCGGTCCGCAAGAGTTCAAGGATTCGACCTTGTCGGCCGCTCAATAACGGACCGGACACCCCCGTTTCTCCCTAAAATGTAGACTAGCCTACCACCACCATCCTCGCGGGCATTCACTATGACTACTTATGCTTAACAATGCGGCATTGGAATAGCGTTGTAATTTGACGACACATATAGTTCATAATAGCGAGCCTTAAGTAATGTTTATGGAACGTCAACCTTCATACGTCTAACTGGTGACCATAGTGTGTAAAGGTCGTATTATTTTATTGTAGTAGGTACTCGACTGAAAATTAAGATAATAACTTTGATACTCTTGTAAATCCTCCACAATTATCGCATTCATTAGATTTCAATGCCTTATTAAACCATCTAGAGGTTAAGCTTATTTTTTATACTTGAAAGTAAATAAAAGAAGTCCAAAGTTTTTTTCCATTTGGTATGAAAAACGGAAATGTGACGAAACAGCGGACTCTGTCGGAGTTCCGTTACAACTCGTCACACAGCTCACATAGAACGGAACTCGACGTGGCCTCCAACCATACGTGGCATGTCTCCATGATCTCTTGCATAATGCAACCTTGCGCTGGAACCCTATTTATAATACACCTTACTTCTTCACTCATACTTTTACCTTGGAGACTAGCATGTCTTCGTTTTTCATGACGTTTCTCTACCTGTATTTCTTACACGACTTCCGAGGATTGTCGGTCATACAGATTATTTTTGAAAAAACAATTTTGACTTAATATATTTTTTATAAAATACGTTTAATAAAACCGACTTCAACCCCCTCTTTTTTTAAAGTCGATTAATTAATTTACTAAAACGTCCTCCTATGTGTAACAAATACATTTCTGAAAACCGCATCAAAATCAGTTTAGATACATCGCGAGATAATCGCGCACAAACATACATACAAACACGCCAACCAGAGAAACACCTTTTCTTAAAGTCGGTTAAAAATAGACCTTTATCTATATGTTATCAATCGTAGTAAAGTAACATGATTAAAAAATGTTTTCTTGATGTCGCTCTCCTTCATCATTCTCTTATTATTTGCTTTACTTTCAATTTTATTCTTAACATAAACATAACTAAAAACTTCAAGTCAAAATGCAATAATTTTCCTTTGATAAAGATCTCTAGGCGTTGTATAGCTACTGTGTTGTCAAGGACATCGGTGGAGGGATTCGGGTGGCCGACTCAATATTATGTAAAATATGTTCAGGCTGACCGCAACCGCACGAAAGAACCTCTTTATCGCAAGCTTGGAGGTCACCGATAACTACACCACTAATAGGCTGCTACTGAACACGACGAATACGTAGAAGACCTAACCACATATGACACGTAAAAGATAGACGCAGCGTTGCGCGTTGATGTAAACAAAAAGATAATCAAAAGTCATTCAACTTTACTGCTAGGAACAATCAATAACAAAATAAGTCAAAATAAAACCTCACAAATACTCCCAGTTGCAAACTTTTGTGATTCAATAAACCTTAACAGTGACACGGCAGCATGGAGGTAGCGATAAATAACTTCATAAAAGGCATATGATTGACACGAGTGCGGTGGGTAACTAATAGGCTCGCGTGCAGCGCTCCACACAGCGAGGTTCGCCCTGGTGATAACCACCAAGGCAACGCTGCGAGCAGCACCGCGAGTGACACCCCTTAGATAACAATTCACTCCTAACACCCATCCATCTATTTCAGTGACGCAGAGGCAACACCCTTATACTGAGGTGAACTAAATGATTCTGCTTTAGATAGTTTCTAACATTTCTAATTAAGTTTCCACAAGAAATTCCTAAGACACCTATTAAGAATTTAAAATATTTTAGTTTTATAGAAGTTTTTAGGGTTCATATAATTTCAAGTTTATTGTGACCTAATCGCGCAGTGAAGTCCTTGAGACTCGAAACTAAACGGCAAAAAAGCGAATTTACTTTAAAGTCTCACTTCTACTTAAAATTATTTACCTGTCGCCCAATGAACAACAGTATGATGTTCATCATCTCTAGCGTTCACGTCTGCACCAGCAGCTAGAAGGGTCTGAACCAGTGGTACGTTGCCATGTACGACGGCCAGGTGTAGTGGTGTCAAGCCATCGGCGTCTCTTGCGTCCGCCAGCGCCGGCGCAGCCATCAGCACACGATCTGCGCAAGCCGCGCGCGCCGCCTGGCTCGCACCCGCGCCACTCGACGCGCAGTAGTGCAGCGCACACCGCAGACCGCGGTCACGAACACGTACTGATGCCGGCTATTGATGTTATGAAGAGTTATATTAATTTATATTAGGTATAGATAAAAAGATTATATTATATTCATATTCATCTAGGAGTGGGCACCTATCTATATAGGTTAAAACTCCCAGACCGTCCTAATTGGCATTAACGTATGATAGGCTGTGGACTATGATCGTTCAGTGCTCTGCAAGCTTTGATAATGGTATAGTAATAACAATATGCTTTGATGAGCTTTGAATGGTACCTATTGTTTTGACCCCAAGGGGGGATTGATATAAAACCTAGATCTATAGGTATATCTGATAATTATCCATATCCATGTATCATTAACAAAAACGTTACAAAATCAAAAGTTATTGCTTTTTCGCTGGTATTTTCCTTTTTTAATATTATTAAGATGTCCCATCTTTTTTGACTTGCAAGTCATATCTTGTGCTTCGTTAACTAACATGTAATATAAGCAATGTTTAATAACCTGTTTGACAAGTATCGTTATCGATCTTTCAAATATTAATCAGTCTTCGAACAAATCAAAATGTTAAAACATAAATGTTCAATAAATTCACAATTTCTTGGACATAAATATTATCTGATCACCATCCACCCTTTTTCTGTCATAGCTAGACATGGGTTCTTATTAGCATCCCAGATCTCTGAATTAGATCTTAAGTTCATCTCAAAGTTACACAATATCTATTAAAATCTCCTCAATATGCAACATTCTTTTCTTATTCGATGTTAGTGCAATTTTAATCCTAGTAGGTACTATTTAAAACAAATGACGTAACTTAGAATTCATGATCAATGACTGCACTGCAATATATGGAAAAAAGGAACATCTAATTTATCTATTCATCATATGGCACGTCCGTTCAAGAAAACAATATTTGAAAATTGTTCATTATATCCGCAACCATTGTAAATGTCGATAACAACAGACTTAAGACTATTCATGACATTGTAGACGATGACCTATTACGGAGTTTCGAAGAATAGGCGACATTCAATGAATGTGAGGGCTGGTGGAGGTGGGTCGTTAGCGAGCTGAGCGGGTTATGGCACGTGTCGTGTTACTAGACAACGGATTGTAATCGTCAAGCCTAGCGCCTGCCGCGTGCCGTGCATGTGAGGACGGTTCCTTCTATTGTGCCAGTCAATTGTAAACCTATTGATTGACTGGTGCCCCGCGCCCCCGTCTCGCCGTCTCACCGCGTGTTAGTGCATTTCCTTCACAGCAATCTGATTCTTTATTATTGTCAAAATTTACAAAATTCATGCTTAGTTGACTTTTCAATACACAGAAACCATTCATATTTGCTTTATATGTTTCGTTAAATGTTTTGTAATACAAATCGTGTTGGAGACAATTAAGTTACATCGACATGGTAACCATTATAAACCTAATTCACGTCATACATAATGAATGTGTGGCGGCACGGTGTCTTGACGACTATTACATATAAAAACATTGGGGGAACTATTTCAAGTAGCGCAGTGGGCGAGCGTTGAGGGTTGTTTACAGACAAGAAGTGAAGTGATCGACGGACGAGGAACATCGCGTGCTACTCATAAAACATTGAGAATACGCTTTTCCATTTAATGTACGATAACCTGCCAAGTTTCTGACCAAGAATTGATGACTTTGAAATAAAGTTTTACATAATGTATCCGTTGGTACGGAGCTAAATGAAACATCTACAAAGCAGTGAGCATTAGCCCAGACATTGGTGATGTGTGAATCGTTTCAAGCTGGAAATTAGATCCTAATGTAGTGCAGTCGACGAACTCACGTCCTTATTGAGTATATCGACGACTGCCTTGTAGTCTGCCTGTTGGCAGGCGTACATGAGCGGAGAGCACCCCTGCTGCAACGGAGCGCTCACATCTCCAGCTTTCTTGGAGCCCTCCACCTTCTCTCGCTTGATCTTTGTGCTCTTATCCAGGAGGTCTCCTTTGTGGCGGCCCTTAGGTTTCTTGAGGATGCTCGGGATGGGCTCTCCCCGGCCGCTGGTGGCACGCTTGTCCATAACAAAGGTGTTAGCGAAGTCGCGCCATGTGTTCAGCGGCGCGGCCGTGTGAGTCGCGGCTCGCGAGCGGGCGCGGAGGGCGCGGGCCTCAGACTGGCCCTCGCGCGCCGCTGCCCGCTCGGACAGAGGTGGCGCTGGGCGGTGGGCGCCACGCAACGCCCGCCGCCCGCCCAACACCTAATCTATTAACGTGCTTAAAGCAGGTCACCATAATCCAAGTATACGGTCTTAGACGGACTGTAACTTGGTTTATAGTCGTATAACCACCACCAATTGAATGTTATTGACACATTGGAACAGTTTATTCCGATACATATTTTAGTTTTCCGGCAAAGAGTAGGCTACCCTAAATCTAGGGATGTCGTAAAAGGGACCTACTCGGTGTTGATGTCAAAAATAGCTAGTTAACAGTACCAGTAAGCAAAGATAGTTTCTACGAAACAAATAAGTTCTCACGCGATGATATTTTATTCAAACGTTTACTTCTTTGATTTAAAAATGCTAACAGTTGAAAACTACTTGCATTGAAAGAAGTGGAGCAGTTAAGTTCCTATACTAATACGTTTTGTACCTTTTATTTTAAGGTGAGCTTATCCAACTTAAATCTTAGATAAGTATTATTTTATTGTATTTCAGCATATTTACCCAACAAACCTACGATAATTATAAATATTTACAGCTATATTTTCCTTAGATTAACCTTCAAAAAAAGCACAAGATCTGAATCATGTCGCCCTTGAACTGTAGGGTGTATACAATATACTTATTGCGTGTCCTTAATATCATTAGTATGGCACATTATGGTGCTCATGTCGAATGTCAAAAGTCAAGACAATTACTAAAGCCATACCTAAGGTAGCATTTTGTAGCACCACTCAAGTGACCATTTCAGTGTTTAGTAGTTTAATATTATTTATGCAAATAAACTTCTTGTTGTCCCTTTGCTTTGTTATATTGTTCTTAAATACCTAATTGAACAAACGAAACAATGTAACCAAGAATATTGTATTGTGAACCTGATTGAAAAGGTGTATATCCTATGGAGTTTCTTCGTATGCTGGTTCTTCTACATAGAAATCTACACATTGGAACGAGCAAATAGCTTCACTAGAGGACTGTCCGACGGGCTGATTTTTTTCTTAAAATTTCAATATTTTGTTTTGACGTTCAAAAGTGGTCGTTGAAGTTCTGGTCTAATTGAAATAAATAATTTAGACTTTGATGTTGACTTTGAATTTGACTTTGTGTTAACATTATGAGACTCCTGCAAAAAATTTACGTTACGTAGTTTACGTACTTTGAAGAGGAGCTAAGTCTTAAGCGTAACCTATGACTTTTTGGTTGCACGCTCTTATCTTCGAAACTACTCAAATTGATATCTTTATGTAGTTCATTCATGAAAGAAACTTATATATCACTAGCTTTTACCCCACGGCTTTGACCGCGTATTCATGTTCTATCCCATTTGAGCATCCGGGATAAAAAGTATCCTATGGCCGGAGTCATCCCATACCGTGCCACATCCAAATAAAGAAACTTTCACATTTATAATATTAGTGTAAGTGGAAAGACAAAGTGTTTATAGAGACATCTGGCGTCAAGGATTTTAGACCAGCTCCTTGAGCATTTGTTTCCTGCATACCTAAATAACTTCCATTTAAAAGTGATTTAACATCATGCTACAGTCAATATTAACCGAATAGTGACCAAAACTGTGATAAATGAGAACAAGAAAAGGAGACAAATTGCCAATTTTCTTTTAAATAAAACCTCACTAGGATTTTATCCTGTGTCATGGGTGCGTTTACAAACATACAAGTTCACATACACATGACACCCAGACCCGAAACAACAATTTGTGGATCACACAAAGAGTTGTTCCGTGCGGGAAGTGAACCCGCGACACGTTGCGTGGCAGCCGGTTGCCCAGTCGCCGCACCAACCGTGTTGTCAGAATGCCAAATGGTTTCGGATATGCAAGCGTCGAAAGAAAAACAGAAGCAGATTGACCGAAGCTACCTTAACCCTTTGAGTACCACAATTAAAGAACAATAGGTTGCGGTCACCGGTGTCCTCACGGTGTTTCACAGTTTAAGGTCTGGTTTACCATCTTCTAGTTTTAATCAAAGGTAGTTAATTAGTAGTTGTAGTAGGAGTGGGTAGCGAGGTGTCGGTGGGTGATGCGTGACGTAAGGTTGGCACGCCACGACGCCCCGCGCTGATTCTAATCATGCTAACATAATTTACGTAGCGACTTACTGATGATTTTGCGCGTGATTCACTTCTGATAAAAGTTTTCAAGGAACTTTACTCATTACTCGTTTTATGAAATTTTCGATTCGAGTGCAAGCTCAGACTAGAGTCCGTGATATCATTAAGAAATATTTCTAAACGCCGAAACTACTCCATTTAATATTTTGCCCCACTGGAAATCGAACACGCGAAATCCCCCGTGTGATAGTCGCGCTTGCAACCACTTGACCGACAAGGCCGTCTAAAATCTTAAATAAACTTACACAACTCCATCCAATAAGATCTAAGAAGACATCCGTATTACTCCATCGTCGGCCACAACGTCGCTTACCACCAGGCGAGATGGTGGCCAAATGCCATATTAATGCAAAAGACAGGTTGATACCTATTTATAGTTACTAACATAAATAGGGTAGTTTCCTTTTAATGATCTAAAACATTAGATACGTATTTTTTCACATTGACGACAGTTTTATTTTTAACCGACTTCAAAAAAGGAGGAGGTTGTACGTTCGGCCGGTATGTTGCTTTTTTTTTTTTTTTTTTTGTATGTATGTACGCGCATAACTTTGAGATGCGTGAAGCGATTTGCAAAATTTTTGTTTTGTTGGAAAGGGTATACTCCCAAGTTGGTCCCATTTCCATGAGGTCAGGATCTGATGATGGGATCCTAGGGAAACCGAGGGGAACTTTCGAAAATTATATGGGCGAGTGATGCGTCTATTATGTTTTTCAATTAGGATTTTTAAACACTACAATTTGATAAGGGTCTGGAGTCGACCTGATGATGGAGCCGATAGACAGTCGAGGGAACTCCTCAACGGTATACAGTAACTACCTTGTGTTTGGGCTTGATTAATTTGTATTGATGAGGACTTTACACCTAGATAGAGTAGGGCTGTCATTAAGGGTCTGATGATGAAGAAGTGTAATTGGTAGGGAACTCCTCAACGGTATACTGTAACTACCTTGTGTTTAGGCTTGTATAATTTGTATTGATAAGAACTTTGCCTATGTAGATTATAAGTAACAAACGGGTATATGTAGCTTTACACTGAAAATGATAAAATAATAAAATAAAAACTGCGTTTAAAAAACCGACTTCAAAAAACCAAAAACTAATAACAAACAAAAAGTCTAAACTAAAAAGCAAAAAATAACTATTATTAGTACTGATAGGTTACCCGCCCACTGATAGGTTAGAAGTCGGTGCCATAAGCTCATATCATAATGATATAATTATCTGTCCACAAAATTGTGAATTAGGTACCTATTAAGGTTTTAATGAATAATTTTGTATGGAACTTATGGCACCGACTTCTTACCTATCAGTGGGTGGGTAACCTATCAGTACTAATAATAGTTATTTTTTGCTTTTTAGTTTAGACTTTTTGTTTGTTATTAGTTTTTGGTTTTTTGAAGTCGGTTTTTTATTATTAATTCAAAATACCTACTTATCATGTGACGTCACGACCTCCCACTCCTAAACTTAACTCCATTTTATGTAAATACTAGCTTTTACCCGCGGCTTCGCTCGCGTCACAAAAGGTTAAAAAGCCAATATGACATACACATAGCGCCATCTATACCAATGCTTTTATTTTACCTCGGGAATATCAAATTTTTCCGGGATAAAAAGTACCCTTAAAGCAAAAATTCAAAGCAATCGGTCTAGTAGTTATGGCGTGAAAGCGGAACAAACAAAGAAACTCACTTTCTGATTTATAATATTAAACTGTCAAACACCAAGCGGTCACCGGTGACCGCGACCTATTGTTCTTTAATTGTGTCTATAAAACCGGTACTCGACGAGTTAAGTAAGGATTGTAACTTTATACGAGAAAATAAAAAAAATACGTGTTTTCATTATCTATTTAATATACTAATTAGAGTTCCTTTTAATTTTCCCTTACTCTGTCATCTACCCTATTATATTAATGTAACATCGAATTACTTACTTCATGAACTTACATACCATTGTTGTAATAACTGTTAATTGTTTGATTACATTAATCAACTCGCTTGTCCCATGTCAATAACATGTTACAAGACTATTTAAATACTAGATTGAACAGTAGATAATTTTAGCAATTAATTTCTACAAGCTTTTTATTATTGAATTGTATCAATCGATATCAATTTTACAGATTTAACACTAACAGACTGATTTTTACAGAGCTCCGAGTTTTCAATCATAAGGTAATTTTTAAATCACTACATAGTATAAAACAAAGTCCGTATCCGCCGTCTGTATGTCCCTAGATACATGCTTAGATCTTTAAAACTACGCAACGGATTTTGATGCAGTTTTTTAATAGATAGAAGGATTCTTAAGGAACGTTTATAGGGATGCATATTGCACCTTTATTTTATACTACAAGTAGTATAAAATTGATATTTGACAGTAGGTACTTAGTATTGAAGAATTATCAAATGCTCAAAGTTATTCCTGAGTTAAAATTTATCAGACTTTGGAAAAATTGGCCTTACACATTTAATTCTATACAGGGATCGTATTATTAGCCTACCTACAATACTTTACTAGTATATAAGATCGAATTAAGTTAATTAATATAAACAAAATGGAAATACTACTTAAGTAAATAATTTGTTTTGTATACTTTTTTGAGAAAGTATTTGTTTAATAGAACGTAAGAACGTAGCCTCTCTCCAGTTAATAGCAGCTTTACCTAAATACATTATCCGATAGATTAAATAACAAAATCAAAACACAAATTATAATAAAT